GGTTCTTCTGTCATTGCAAACCTCTGCCAGCAGCTTTGCTTGTGTGGGTATTTTCCAGTTTGAGCAGCATGTGCTCATACAAACCTTCCAAGTTAAGTGACCATCTGCATTTAACTGTGACATACTTCCAAATGCTATTTGCTTTTCATACCAATAAGCTTTTAAATTCTTCTGTAGCTTAGCGAGTGTTGGCTTAACTTTGCAAGAATATTTTTGATAATGGATATGTTTTTGGTGTTGATATATTTTTGATAAGTCATAAAGTCCGGTATGATTCAGAAGTCTATATAATAACATGAAATCAAGTCTCATAGTCCTGTTGTCTTAGATAGTCCCCTCTCTACCAAATCCACGGGGTTCTGGAAAAATGGCTGTTGTAATTATGGCAATTTTTATGAAGTATTGTTGCCTCAAAATTAAGTACTTTTGCTTATCTTCTATCTCCTCATTGTGTACCTGAGGTCCTGTAATCTCATGATTTGGGAGCTGAAGTAATGTGAGCACGAAAAAGGTATGTTGAATGAGGCTGAAGGGGAAAGAAAACAGGTTTTGCTGCCTGTAACTTGTGCAAGAGTGGTCATAGCTCGCCTGAGTTGGGTGAACTTTCTCTGCCTGTGACCAATGCTCTGTGCATCAGAGAAAAACAAAGAGGAAAAGTCCCACAATTGTCCCTAATTTTGCAAAACTATTTTAACAAGAGACTGTGCAAATGTGGTGTTTCTTACGGCCTTTGATCATTAACCATTTGCTTCTTGAGTCATTGCTTGTGGCTCCTTGGGGAGTTAAATTGTGTCCTGGAGGCCACGTTGGAGATCTCGGTTGCCAGCCACAACCAGTGTTTGTTTGTTTTGTTTTATTTTAAACCGCTTTTTGTGCGTGTATGTTAGCACTCATGTAGCTAGCCCCTTAGTACTGCTGGTAGCAGATCACGGTAAGGCTCGAAATAGTCTCTTGCTTAGGGTAGAGAAAAGCCCAGTGTTGTTTTCTTCTGTTTTGTTGCTGTTGAGCAACACTTCTAGTTTCCATCCAGCTCCGCATTTGGCAGGTTGTGCGTCTGTCCTTTTGCACCCTTGTGCTCTCCTCTGGTCAGGCTGTGGTGCAGGAGGGAAGCAAGCCTAGGCCCCAGCAGCCTTCAGCATCCCTGGCACATGGTGGCGGAGCACAGCGGTGCAGCCAGCTTTGGGAAAACGATTGGTTATGCAGTAAAGAAAGGGGAAGTGCAGGAAAGGACGGAGTAACGAGGGCATGGGAGACAGCACAGACTTCTTCAGATCTGTGCAGCAGAGGCGACAGGCTCTGTTTCTGTGTGTTCAGCTCTGTGGGCTGCCTGCTGTCAATACAGGATCAAGGACACATCGGTCCATTTGCTATTACAAAGGTTCTTTTCTTTATGTTAGCTTGCTGAAAAGAAATCTGTGCCCTCATAAATACACGTGGCCCTTGTGTGGACCATACCTTTTTAATCTGTATTCCAAGAGCGGCTTGGCAGTAGTGGTGGAATATTTCCCTGTGAATTTTGCCAGCGTCATTGAAGAGGCTGAAAAACTCTCAGCCTCATACGTTTTTTTGATGACTGCTTTTACTAGAAAGCCCTGACCAATTTCCTTGAGGCACACCCAGTGTGTGCTCCGACTGCTCTGTCATGCTTTATGTGACTGCACTACAGAGCGAAGGAAGTGTAAGACAGTTGCTTCCTTTATTACCACCAGTGGCCAGAGCTCATATTTTGGGTAAATAATCCCAAACCAGAACATGCAAGATGAGGTGTTGAGTCAGGTTTGACACACGGTGGAAGTGTAAGATGCTAAAAGGCACGTTGTGTGCAGCCCTTTCCCCAGCAGCAGCGCAGGGCGAGCATGAGTGTGCGCTGGGTGGGCCTGCAGCCTGCCAAAACATCAGAAATCCTGGAGAAAAAACTCTTTGGAACTTGTTCTGGAGACCAATTCATGGAATTGGAAAAGATATTTAAATGAATTTGTCTCATTTCCATCTAAGTTTGTTTTGTTGCTGACGTGTCTTACATGTAGAGAAGCCGGCTCTAGATTACACTAGCTCTTTGCATATTTTTCTCGCAATGCTTTGCTTCTCTCTGTGTGTTCCTCCCCATCGCCCAGGCTGCTTTTGCAAGGCACGGGAAGCCCTTGCTGCTCTCGGTGCAGGTCAGCAACGTGGGTAGCTCTTCACTGCAGAGGAAGGTGGAGTGTGTGCGGGGGACTCTGTGTAGACTAAGAAGTGAGCCTCACTCCTCTGTGGAAAGGCCTAAATTAGGAAATATCATTACAGTAATCTCCAGGATGCCTGGCAAAATCATGTAGGAGCAGATTATTTGCTTTTTCTATTGTACAGTCACGAAATCCATCCGTAACCGAGTAGGTCTGCAATCTGATTTGATAAAAGTGATTGGTGACATTAATGCTGAATACCTGAGTCACTCCTATGTTTTTTTTCCTGTGCCCTCCATTTTTATCATATCATCTCTCACATTAAAGACTGCACTAATGAGTCATCTTTATTTATATTTTAATTGTTCATCTCTTATTGTGAAAACAATTGGCAGACTTGTTATAAACAGTCTTCCCTTATGATTTTTCTTACCATCTTAAGAATTGTTTTAGTCATGCTTATCCAAAGTTGTGCTTTACTCAATTCTGGGGTTTCTTTCCTCAGCAAGGCTGTGCAGGAAGCTCATAGCCAGCAAGATCTCCTTGCTCTGTCTGTCCTTCCTTCTGGGCATACCTAGGAAAACTGTATTATCTGTAGCAGTGTTATTGGATAAATGGAAATCTTTTCCAAACCTGAAAGACCATGAGCAAGCCAAGCACTGAAGATTGGTGCTGCATTATTTGGGCTGGGCTCCCTTATGCTGTTGGCTGGAGGTGTTGCTTGGAGAAGGGGCTGTTTTGCTTTCCACACTGCACCTGGCTCCGTTTCTCCCTGGTCCTTGTATCCCAGTTCAGGGAACACTGCTACCCTTCGCTCACCCCTTGTGCTTGTGTGTGTCCAATAGAGCTGCACATATCCTTGTGATAGGGATACGTCTGATAGAGTGTCCACGTATCCTTGCGTTGTCCCACGTGCGGGAGAGCTGGCGCCCAGGGATTCACTGTGCCCCTGGAGCTTGTTTCCTGCACATGTTGCAACAAATGAGGCAGGGGCTTGTAGGAAGTGAGGGATGATCTCGGGACTAAGGCAGTTCACTGATAGTTCAGAGAGCTGGAGCCCTGCCCCCAGGATACCAGATAAGTAACCCAAACCTGATTTTACTTTGTAGGCCTAATCACTTCTCTTAATTCCAGAGCCATATCATTGATGTAGTTCAGGGCATCCTCTTAAAATGAGCACAGTAACTGAAGGTAGTTGCATTTTCTATTCTGTAGGCTCTAGACTTCCTCTTTCTCGTAATGATGGAAATTTCTGTCCTGGCTTATCTTCTCTATCCCCTTTGGAGACCACAACACATCTGCAGTCCCTGATGTGGCCGAGCTTGTTGATCACGGCTCTAGAACGTCCTATTAAGTAGGACACAAGGTGAAATAAACTGCAGTGCAACAAACCAATTACACAATATGCAGATAAACCTAATATTGCTTCCCTGTTGTCTGCCTGTTTACACCATTGCTTAACTGAACCGGTAGGATTTAAATGTAAAAAGTCTCCGTAATTATTACGGGACCATAAGTAAAGGTATATTTGTGTGGTAGAGGTTTTGCTTCAAGTCTGAAAAGCTACTTCCTTTTTCTAGCAAAGCTCCTGCCCCCAGGCAACGAGCTGCCTTAAATGAAAACTATGAACTGAAAGTATGGTAAAGCCTTTCTTAGGCAGACTTCCCTGGACTTTTAAAAAATAAACCCTTGCAGTTTCCAGCCTCAGGATATTGAGTCTGACAGGTTCAAAGAAGAGACACAGTGTATTGAAATGATTGAAACTGCATGGAATTTTTTTGGGCTGCATTATACAGGATGTCTTGGGGGCTTTTTGGAAGTGACATAGATCATCCTCCTTCAAGGCTTATCCTGCCCTTTAAAAATTGGGAATTGGCAGGAAGGATTTCCTTGAGGCTGAGGCTTGTGTGATGCTTTTCTCATTTCCCCCTAAAGCTTCTGTTGGTGCCTGTGGTTTAACTGAATTGTAAGTCTGACCCTGGCCTGCCATTTCTGCATTTTCAGATGTTCAGAAAAGACTAATACTCCTATTGTTATCTTACTTCGGAAGATGAACATGGTTTTGAAATGCAAGGCCCCCAGTGGCCCTTGATTTAGGCAGAAATCTTCACAAAGTCGTGGGATTTTTTTTGTTGTTGTTTGTGTGTTTGGTTTTTGTTAAAGCAGCTGGTTTCTTGGCTGCACTCAGATGCCACTTCAGCAATCTACTATTTGAGAAAAAGCTTCCTCTTAGAAGCTGCATTAAATTGCCTAAAGAGACGGGCTGCCAAGGGCTGCAGCTCCGGTGCAAGTTGCCGACCGTCCCGCTAGCGGCTCTTGCAGTTCCACAGTTCTTGAAGTGCTTGCAGGGCAACACACTCGCATGGCAGCCTGTGCAGAAGGAAGGGGCAAGGAGGAGCTTTGCTGCTTCTGTCTGGAGCTTTATTTCTTCTGTCCTGGCCCTGGTCGCACCTTAACAGAGAACCAAAGTCTGGAATGCAAGAATTTGTTACTGCAATAAAAGCTATTAATCAATGGTTTTGATTATTCTAGCATTGCATGTATGCAATTGTATACAGTTGAAAGTAAATAACTGACTACGATTGCTTTATTGTTTTATCATAGAGCCAATAGAAGCACTTGGATGACTGGAATTCAGGGTATTTTGTTCTTGCTCTTGCACTAAGGTGAAGGAAATGAGCACAAGAAACTTTGCTTCAGGCAGGTAGAAATCTATACTTCCATATAGTGAATTAACATCTCTCAAAAAAATAACTTCTGGGAACCTTTTTAAAACGGGATGGCTTTTTTACCATTACAGACTGTATTTTGAAAGTAACATATGAATTTTAATTACAGTTCCTGTTCATTATTTAGTGGTTAAAAGATTACCACTCTAAATTTTGCTTTGGAGACCTGGGAAGCCTCATCAGTGTGGAACTCAGCTGTGCATCTGACACCTGTCTTGAACAGAAATAATTGAAACAAAGATGTCCTTCATAGACCCTTATCAGCACATTGTGGTAAGTATGTTTGAATATTCTATGAATACTGCCTTGTGTAGCTTCTTCTGTAAGAAGTTGCCTGCAATAACCACAAAGCGTCAGTGTTATCATGAATTCCTTAGTATAATTTTCAGTAATTTGAAAGGAAAAACTTATCTGAAAAACTTATCTGAGCAAAATTTGAAATATATTTGAGTTATTTTTTCAAAAGTATATGATGAATTAATGAGTGTAGCTGCCGGTGCATAATTGGCCTATGGCAATTAGCAATGCAGAATACAGACTCCTCCTAAGCATGATTTCAGGAGAGTAAGATTTTAAAGGAGTTGCTTGTTCAAGGCTTGTATTTGATTACTTTATTGCATATAAATTTTTCATATACCGGTTGTCACACTAAACTGCCAGTGAAAACTTTGACATACATCATATTATTTTTGTGGACAGTTGGTATAACTTTTATAGCACAAATATCCTACTTAACAAGTAACTCTCTTACGTTACCACCAGGATAAATAAAGGCAAGTTGGCAATTTTGGTAGGTCCTGAACAAATACATATCAGTAATGCGTAGGCTTTTGTTTGTTTTTAAAAAGCAACGTGAAAATACTTGCCTGCAAACTCTGGATACAGGTCAGGGAGATGAGCTGTACAGCATATCCTGCCAAAGTCTCCTTGCTCCCTCCTTGCTGTTTTCCCCCAGACATGTGTTCTTGCTGCATCCTTTGTACCAGCCCACAACTCACCTGATCTCAAAGTGAGCCAATTCACTTTGTCCAACTGGCAGAAAGCTAGACCAACTTTAAAACAAAATAAAACATAAAAAAAAAAAAAAACAAAGCAAAGCTGGGTTTAGGCTGTAGTGTTCACTCCCATATCTTTGCTCAAGTGACTTGCCAAAGAACACATTGCAGTTCCTGCGCAAGCTGGAATCTCGAAACGAGCTGGGTGTGTTCCTATCAACTGCTTTTCGTAACTGGCCTCTGTCACAGCAGGCAAGCAATTCATTTGAGAGGCACACCATCCATTTGTTGTAATGGTGAACTTTTGCATTGCTAAAAATACCCTGTCTGCTTCCTTGAAACAATCTCTTATCAATTATGTGGTTTCCACCCCACACAGTTGCATCCTTTACATGACTCTGCAGCTAACAGATGTAAAACTTGTATTTTACACCATAGTTTTGTGAAATTTGCTGTAAAGATATATTCAAGTTATGTTCATGTTGGGATAAATATTCAGAATTTAAAAAGTATGTCTGCAGGAACATCTGTCTTTAGTGTATAACATCACATTAGGAGAATGGACTTTATTAAAATCTGTTATTTAAAGACAAGTAGACCTTTTCACATTTCCCCTCCATTGTCAGCTCAGATATCCTACTTAATGTCAAGGAAGTAAAAATAATAAATACTTATTACACAATCGATCTATACCAGAACTTCCTGGTGTGCCTAAGTAGATCTTGTGATTGAGTTACATTTAATGACTTATGTATTCTGGACTATGAAAATTATGCTTAACACATGCAAATACCTTGCATTCTCAGTAAGCACAAAACATACGTAGACAAAACCTGATCGTGTTGCAGCAAATTTCAGTGTTGAGAAGTGGGAAGGTAGTGGTACTGACGTCCACATGAATGAAATGATACTTATGCCTTATGTAAAATAGAGGAAATAAGATAATGAGGGAAATTTGCTGGGAGAAAAAAACAGTTAACGGCAGAAGAGGAAGGAAAGAGGCAGGAGGAGAACTTAGAAGGGTTGAAGGTTTCTGGGGTGGGAGCAGGAGAGCCTGAGCAGCGACTGTCCTGGATATGCAGAAACCCTGTGCCTGGATGTAGGAGGGATGCAGAAACAGATTGTAGAGGACGAAGTCTGTATTGTGCAGAAGAAAACATGTCCAGAGGTGGCTGCTGTGCAGTGTGCCACATTGAACACTCTTCTCCTTCCTCCTTTATGAAGAAAGAGGAAGCACAGTGGAAGAAAATACTTAAACTCAGGTCACTTCTGAAGATAGGATTCAGGCTGTTAAATTACGAGCTTCTGAAGCTTTTCGCATGGGTTAGGTTTTTAAAGGCATGCAGATGTTGCCCCACTCAGGGTTGCAACACTTCAGTGATTTATATGCCAACTTCCAGTTTTCAGAAGTAATTAGGGAGTTGGCAATGTACAGATTTTTATCAAGATTTAAGGTGAACATAAGTCACCTTGGAAAATACAGCTTAGTCATCTAAATTAGGAAGGGCTGGATCCATAAAAGTATTTAGAATATTTCTTTGGGTATTTTCAGGGGACATCTATATTACATGCAAGTTAATCTCGCTGAAGGCTGACAACTCCTAAGTGAAAAATAGTTTTTTTCCCTTTTTTTTTCCCCCCTCTCAGGTTGCAAATAGTCACTTTTTTATATGAACAAAGCTTACTTGGGTATAAGTGCTTTCCAGTTATTTTTTAGCCCTGAGAACTAATTCCAATGCTTCCTGTCCCAGATGTGCAACTTAATTACAGCCCCATCCTCCTCCATTGCTAAATGCTCCGTGCTCCCTGACTTGCGGTCTTTGTGAGGACAGACTCTTTCCTAACAGCCAAGAATAAGGGAAGAGGTGGCGTGTTTGTACTCTGGGTTGTCCCTGTTAATTACAAGGTTGGATGTGAGAGGCAACTCCCCCGGTCTGTGCGAAAGAGGAAAGTCTGGGGCCCGGCTGCGCGGTGACACGGGCGCCTCGCAGCCGACACGCCGAGGCCCTGGGATCCACCAAGTTAAGAGATGAATGGGGAAAAAAAAAAATAAAAAAGGCATCATTATTTCAGCTTTACAAGCTGAGAGCTGAAGTACAGGCGCATTGGAGTGTATGATAGGTGAGATGCTGTAGGAGGTGTGTTCTTAATGCAGGGGCTGTGTGGCCGGAGCCGCTCGCCCTCGTGGGAGCGGAGTTGGCTGCCTGCGGGCCGTGCCCGTGCCTAGGCGGTGCCAGCAGCCAGACAGCCTGGGTAACATGAAGATTGGCACTAAGATAGCAGTGTACGTGGGAGTGCTCTGAGGCGAGAGCCTGAGACCTCCTTCTGGCTCCAGTTTTTAATGCTGAACAGTTTCCTCGTTAGCTCTGTGTTGTGGCCCTGCCAAAGGTCCCAGCTGCCTACCTTGTCACCTGCAGTGCAGATGTTCGTAGTGGTGTGCAGTGGGACAGACCCTGTAGGCAAGGTGGGGGGGGGGGGGGGGGGGAAAAAAAAAAAAAAAAAAAAAAAAAAAAAAAAAAAAAAAAAAAAAAAAAAAAAAAAAAATAGTCATGGGACACCCGTTTGTTAGGCCCTGCCCCATTCGTGGCTTTGCAGTGAGTGGGAAGCACTAGGAAGTACAAAAAAATGCAGCTTGTGGATATTTTCCCAGCTCACTTTTCACCTTTGCCCTCCTTGATGTGGGGCTGCCTACACTTGGAATATTGATGTGTACCAAAAAGGACCTGGGGACTCCCCATGTTGCTAATAATGGCCCTTGCATCTGCTAGATGCATGGATATGCTCCAGAACATATCCTAGACATAATTATACCCATTTTATTGGAAGAAACACAAGCATGTTTTAAAATAGCCCATTTTCGTGTGTGTGTGTGTTTTGTTGGTTTTCTTTTGTTGCTTTTCTTCTCCCATACCAAGTTGTCACTGACTAAATGCCTTAAAGCAAGTTCCGTAGAGAGGAGGAGGGTTGTTCACTGAGATTAGAAAAAAAATAAGAGCTCGTTATGAAGAACCTGTTAAGTAGGTGTGGCTGCAGGAAAATCCAGCAACCCTAATACGAGGTCTGACCTTGCAGTAAAGCTACGGGCTGCAGTTGTGCTTTAAGATGCTCTATCCAGTATGCATTTTGCTTACATTTTGATTTGGGGGATCTCTCTTTTCCAGTTTTTGGACAAGAAGAAACCTCTTCTGATGTTTTGGGGTTCTGGAGCTTAATCACCTCTACCTCTCTGAATTCCAGGTGGAGCACCAGTATTCGCACGTGTTCACTGTGACAGTAAAGAGAGCCACCAATGTCACGAAAGGGGCGATTGGCGATATGCGTGAGTATTTCTTTTTCTGGTTCCACATCTTTCAGCTCTGTTCGAGGAGGCCCTTTCCTGAGGCAGAGGGAGATGACACAAGAAGCTTGTCATGCATTCACAGGTCGTAGGTTTCTTTCCTTGCTGTTAAACCTAAGGCAATGCACTTATTTAATTGCTCACTCGCTTTAGCTCATAAAGCAGGTTTGCCGCTCCTTCTTTCCATTGATCCAAAAAGCTGAATGAGTTGTACATAATTTGCCTACAAGCCAGCAACACCTACGTTCCGTCTCCGGCTTAGTCGGAAATGCTCTTCTGAGTTGGGTGAAACTGGCAATTGCTGGATCTTCAAAAGGCTGTGGTTTGGTGGGAACACTTACAAGCGAGAAACCAAAGTCTGCTGAGTCAATGCTCTAAAAAGAAAGAAGAGAAAAGGGAGAAAAAAAAAAAAAAAAGGAGGGCAGAGAAGCAGATCTCGTGGTGGAGTATTATACAAGATCCCACTATTCCTTTCTGTGAAACTTTGGAGTCTCCAGACTTAGCTGCAGAACAGGAAACTGCTGTGAAACATTATGAACTTGTGAAAACTTTTATTTGCTCTTAGGAGGGAAAGAGGGAGCAAATAAAACAGTTTCAGCCAACAAATAAAAAAAAATGCTGTTTTGATTATGGCTGTGGTGGTGTTATCAGTTCATCTCTGTTTCCCTGGCACTCCGTGCAGAGCGTTGCCTGATACTGCAGGTTGAGGCTAGGAGGATGAGTGTGGGGCCGTGTTCCTCCCCCTCAGGGAGTTTGATATAAATGTTGTTTATTTGCTGACACATTCCGGAAGCTGCTTTCATGAAATTATCTCCTCTAATATGTAGCTTTGCCACAGCAGGTTAACAACTCTTTTGTTTGGTATCTAGTGCTGTTAAACATGGGGTAGGTGGGAGAGGCAGTTAGGTGGGGAAGAAAGGAGAGTGGAAGAGAAGGTAGGAGCACTGGGGGCTCTGTGATGCTAAGGGAGCTAAGAGGCAGTGTGGTGATCTCTGCCAGAGTTGTTGCACTTAGTGCAATTCACAGACTGTTCTGTGAGCCAAAGTTACACTTTTATTTACTGGTGATGGAGGTTGTCGTGAAGGGGATGTTTTGATTTATCTTCTGCTTCTGTTCTTTTTATCCATGTCCCCAGTGAGTGCCTGAGATGCCAAAAAACTCCCTAGAAATTTTCAGTTCATTTACGTTTCCTTGTATATTCACTGTCTGGCTGTAAACTGGGAGCCTCTCCCTTCTGGGCAGGCCTGGAGTGCTGAGATGGAGCTTTATACCCCTAGAGACGTTAAATGCTGCTTTCTGAGGAGATTCTTGTCCCCTGCTCCAGGACATGGGTGGGCTCACTATAAGCACCCATGTGCATGCACAATGCATTGCAGCTGCTTTACTTGTTTTACAGGTTTGCCTTTCTTTCCCATGACTGGTAACTTTTTAGAGTGTGTGTGTTGGATCTGACCAGATCTAGGTTTGGTCAGTGTATGGGAATGCCTGTATATATGGTATGTGCTGCGTGTTTGCTTCTGAGGTCCGGCTCTGCTCAAGGAGCTGCAAATGAGGTCTTGAAATCTTGTCCCTGACAGAAAGCCTATCATGAATGTCACATGTTGTTGTCTCCTTGAGCCTTGACCAGGGAGCTATACTGTGTTTACAGGTGTTACTGTATTTTATTTTCCACACTTGAATTTGCTGTTAGTGAAGAACAAAAATGATTGTGTCACCCCTAAAATCAGATGGTAGCTGCATGCCACCCTGTAACATCTGCGGGCTGTGTTTTCTTGTGTGAACAGGTCATGCACCACAGTGCTGATTCAGGAGATGCTCGTTCTTTCCTGGCGGATCTGGACGCCTGAAACAAAAGGGAAAGTTGGAGCTAGCTTCCAGGCCGCTCTCTATTTCACTTGGCTGAGATTTCCCATTGTCTCTAAGCTCAGAAATCTTGCAGAGTGATCTGAGACCAGCAAACAAATGACCTGTGCTGTTAAGAAGTTCTGAGAGCCTCTTCTCCAAGGCAGACTACTGCTTTTTCAGAAGTTCATTCAATTTCTCTGTTTCAGATATTGGTTCATTTGCTGTTGCCTTCATGGAAGAGCAGATCCTTTACTGATTTTCCTTGCTTTAATTTCATTGCCTTCCTTTGGAGGTGTCTTTCCCACTCGAGGTTTTGCTGTCCTAACAACACCAGTCAGCACAGTTCTGTCTTTGCAAACAGAACAAGCAAACCCAGAATCCACGTCAACAGTGTGCAGAAAGAGGAAGTTGCAAACTTTGGTTCTTTTTCATCTGGATCTTGTCTGGATTTTTAAGGGGCTTGATTGGAAATTGGACCAAATGAAACATTGGAAAACATATCCTATGTTTTTAAAGACCTTTTCTAATGACCTATTTTTTTTCTTTAAGCATAGTGGTTTTCAAAACAATATATAGCTTCTACAAACGAAACTAGTTGTATTACTCTGTTCCTAGGGATCCATTATCTTTCTTAATCATATTCTGTATTTATTTTCAGCTTTTATTTGCTTTATCTGCTTTGCATGTTACAATCATCTACAGGTTAATGCTGGGCCATTGTAGGGAAAAGATTCCTTTTTTTAATAATGTAAGAAGTTTAAAGCTTGGATAGCTCATGGCACTAGATGTCCAGCTTGTATCTCAGTTTCTATCCATCCAGTTGGAATTAAGGATCTATTTCCACTGTGGTTATGCTGCTTAGATAAACAAGTTAAAGTATTGGGAGCAGTCCAGCCAACAGCTTAATCCTCTTGCAGAGCCTGCCAGCATGAGGACAGAAAGCAGCTGCTGATGGTTTTAGCCCATGTGGCTGCAACCAGCAGTAATTTCCCTGGAGGCTAGAGAGACGTGCTTGCACCTTGGCAGTGTGGCTGTCACGTTCCCTGCCTCTCCCAAAGCAGAGGAGGAGCCAGGGTGCTTCAGCACGTGCCTTGCCCTGCCTGCGGCACGAGACCGGGTCCAACTGCCAGCCCAGCCCGGCAGCATTCGGCAGGGAGAGAGGAGGTGACTCCCAGCGCAGCATCACGGTGCCTTTCTGTCTCTGTAGACTCCTGCTTTGGCCTTGTCTTCATTTCCAGACGTGCTTCTGGTTGGCCAAGCTGGCTCTGCGATGCCACGGTGGTTTGGTGCAGTTTGGGCATAGATACCCAGAGCTTTTAAGTGTCAGCTGACTGAAAGGGGAGGAATTGGAGATTGCCTGCTTGTAGGGGAGTACAGACGCAACAGCGTGCTTTACCACAGTCCATTCAGGGCTCATCCAGACCGATAAATCTCCCATCCCCATTCAGCTGCAGTATACACGATTTAACTCACTTGTGTATTCCACAGCAAAGCTAGTTGGAAAAACGTTGCTTTTTCCAGGTGCAAAAGAATCTCTGATGTAAACAGATTCTATCTCTGAACACTTGGCTTCTCATTTTGGATCCATAATTCCTGTATTTCTAACTGGTGAGTGCATTCTGCAGGGGAGAAAAACATTTTTTGTTCCTCATCCTCTTCGGCGCAAAGAGGAGCAGATCTCTCCATGGAGCTCTGGAGGTTGGTGCTCACGTGCCGCCCGCACTAAGCGCCCACTGTCTGTGCTGAGTGCTCCAGCCCAAATGCTGCGGTGATGGTTCCAGTCACAAGGAACTTCAGAGGTCAGCACTTCAGAGCTGTGCTTGCCCATTGCCCGCGGCTCACCATTTCCCAAAGCAGCCCGGGCCTGTGCGCAGCCACAGTCCTTCCTAGCTAGGACTGCCCCAGGTGTTTGAAACACATTCCTCACACTCTGAATTAAAAAATCAAAGCACGAATCTGTTCACACTAAGGCCTTGAGGCTGCACTTCTGCAATAGAATAAATCCAGCTTTAGGGCTCTTGATAGGGGATCAAAAGCCTGAGAGTCTCATGATAGTGGATGCGGCGCCAGCATAAACTTGTTCTGCGGATTCAGAGTTGTTTGGGACACGTTGGTAGGTTAAATTTGTATTGGTAGACTTGATGCCAGGCTAGAAATAATCTATTCTCCATCGGCCAACATAAATCTGGACTAAAATCCATATTGTGGGTTTTGTGTAATTTATCAGGAATGTGGTGATAGGGCTGAATGTATTTGAGATGAAACTATCGCTGTGCAGATCTGGGAACCGCAGTTGCAGTTCCACAGGGCAGCTTTGCCATCACTCCTCCCTGCTGGTGCCTTTGCTGGGGGACTGAAGGACTTCGCAAGTTTAATGCTGGAAGGACTTCATAAATTGAATGCTGAAAGCTCCAAGAAGTCACCACTTTAATTAAAAAGCAAAAACCACCCCAAATACTTGGATTCTGACATTACTAGAAAACCACATTTTTCTCTGACCTATTGCAAACTAATATTTTAGTGACTCTTCACTGCTGTTTCTCTGCAAATGAAAGAAGTTTGACAGTGACAAGTGACAAGTTTGACTCTGGAAAAGGGTATTGCTGTCCATCTGGAGACTGACGAATTTGTCTTGAGCTTGCCAAAGGGCTTCATCTGGTCTTTTTGAGGGGGCTAGAAGAACCTAACTCAGTGAACCAGCTGGGCAGGGCTGTGTTCAGTGTCCCTTGTGGCGAAGCCCTCGTTGTAGCCACCTTCCACCCATGAACTCCAGCACCATGTCCTTCCCTCTGCAAACTCCCCTCAGAATGAGGGCCCAAGACTGCTGCTCTGCCTCTGAATTCTGAATTCTGCTCTGTAAGTGCAGATGCAGGTTGCCACAACCTGCTGGAGCGCGATGGGGTGGTGCTCTGTCCTCTTAGAAAATGCACTTAGAAATTGATGTGGGAAGGCAACAGAAAGGTGTCTTAGTTCCTTTGTAGTTTCCTAACTCTCAAACTCTGCCATTTGTGTTGGGAGAAGGATGAGATGTGCTTAAGATGTGCTAGAGCTCCAAGGATAATCAAGTTGGACTGTGCTACCAGAAGCAGGAAAACACTCTGTCTCCTTGGAGGGAAGTAGGCAAAGGTGTTCACTGGGAACTGACTCTTAATAAGCAAGAGTTTATGAATGCTCATGTGAAAAATATGTTTTTTTAAATGATATTACATTATTCTGTAACAAAATGGATTTTGGAACTTTGGAATGGAAGTTGAGGAACTTCGTGTGTCTTTGGTTTTGATCATCAAATTAAATACATTGTAGTGCAAGGCAGAGGTTGCTTTAACCTTATTCTTTTAGATACAAATGGGTTTCCCATAGTTTCTACATGACAATTATAATGTTGCAATAACTGAGAATAGAATGTCTGAAGTGCACATAGTTAATTATGTTGACACAAAGGCTGGGTTACAGTTTATCCCACCAAATGGGTAACCTAAGATGAAAGTGCTTTTACTCACTGCAGGAAACTTTTCAGCTTTCTTTAACAGATTGCTTTAAGCATTATTCATTTTTAATTGATCCTAATTACTGTCCGTTGTGGGTTCAACTGTGTGATTCATATCATAATTCATCATGTTACTATCTATCTCTATAGATTTCTATAGGAGTTAGGTAGCAGGAGATAAAACAAACGAGAACACACATTGAATCCTTACTTCCTACTTGCCAGCCACTTGCTAAGCCCACATCTTAAAGGATAGCGGCTTAGATGCTGGCTCTGTTTTTGAAAAGAAAAGAGATACTCTGCAAATTAGCTAACAAAATCACGTAGCAATGAATACATCATGCAAAAGGATGTCCTGAAACTATATAATCTATATATGCCAATTTTAATGTTCTGAAATATGTTGGGTGAGTAACTTTGTGGTGCTTGCCAGGTTGCTGGCAGCTGTTTTTTGGGGGCCATCCTCAATCAGTAGCAAGGAGTAAGACTCTGCTTAATGAGTAGAGCTTATAGCAATATTTTAAATCAGCATATTTAAACCAGCATATCTTCCCATATTTTTCCTTTTCATGTCAAGAATGATTTTTTAAAAGTGTGGGTTTGCATTTTCTTAATTAAAAGTAGTGCAAAATAAACTTTCCGACATGATTGGGCGGATGATTAACCCTGCCTGAGGTTAGCCAAGATAATGAAGGTGGGGAGGGGAGGCGTGCCAGTGCTGAGCTTCGAAAATATTTTTCTGATTTGATGGAGGGACTGCCTTGAGTGCAGTTGTGTCATGCCCCCGGTTTAGTTTCTGTTTGAGAAGAAAAGATGGGTTTTGCCTCTGCTGGGACTGTGAGTACCCGTGGGAAGCTGCGTGCTGCTGCTCGTGTCGAGAGGAAGATGAGCACTGCCGTTGCACTCGGCAGTTTGGTGACTTGTGCTCAGAGCTGATCACAAAAATCTATTAAAAAAGTGTTTGGAGAGAGAAGCAGTGAGGTTTTGCCCAGGATGCTGCTTCCTATCTGTGTTTTGGTTTAAAAAACAAGCTTTTGTGGGCAATTTTAGGTACTTGGTGCTGCAAGCCTGTGGCTGGCCATTGCCAAAGCACTGTTCAGTGTCCTGAATGTGCCAGGTGAGGTCCTGGCACACTGACAATTTCAGTAGATGTTTTGCAGTTTGGTTTTAAGGGACATTGATTTCCTTCCTACTGTCACAATTAGGCCAAATAACTCAAGGGGGCAAAGCATGCAGTAGAAGCTGATAACTCATTACATCTGTCAGTGAAACAGCATTGCAGGAAGCACCTGAGGATGGATTCCCTCCGTTCCCCTGTCTTTAGGTAAGAGATAAGATAGATTAAATGCCCAGGAGCCAATGAAGGTTGGTATGTAAAAGCTTTCCACCCTGGTCTCCAGCTTTAAGTAGCTGTTAGTTACACAGGTAGCACTGTGACCTATGAAACCCTAGCAGTTAGGTAAGACCCACTCACACTGTGAGTAGTGAGTACTATATAAAGCTCCCTAAAAGGTTCTTTGGAATACTGGGACAGTCAAAGAAAAATCTGACGTAATTCTGACAATTCTGAATAAATCAGTTGATAATTCCATGTAGATATATATGGTCTCTATTAGTATACTTTTAATTAGTCTTTTGCATGGTCTTTACTCAGGTGTGACATGTAAATAAAATCTCAGTCTCAGTGAGAATCTCAGGGGTGACTTCCACAGAACTGCAGAGATTGCGATGGCTTTGGGTTTGAGCAGCTCCCCTTGAGCTGTATTTTGGAGTACGTGAGTGGCCTGGCTTGATTCCTCTGTGATTGCCAAACAAGCAGAGGTGAAAGAGGATGTTGAAGTATCAACTGAGTTGCTTGTTTCCCTTTCCAACTGAAGACTGTTTTCATACTTAACTTGCTGCCAAATTAATTAAAAGAGAAGGAGGGAAAAGAGCTTTTCCAAATAATTACAACTAGGTAAATTCTACCTGATTATTATTTCCTGATTATTATTATTATTATATTATCTTGAATCATTCTCAGTACCACTCTGTGTAAGCCTTTTTATCCCTTCTTTAAAATAAAAAGCATAACTTCTGCTTCTTTTGGGGGCTGTTGATGTCTTTATATCATTAATATCGCCATAATTTTTATCATTAAATTTACATATCTATAGACCTGTGGTTTTGCATAACTATTTTGGTTATTACATCCCAAACCTGAGTTCCATCTAACTTGTGCATCTGTTTTGCTCTGTACAGTTGACACTCCAGATCCCTACGTGGAGCTGTTCATCCCCTCAGCCCCTGACTGCAGGAAGAGAACTAAACATTTCAATAACAATGTGAATCCCGTGTGGAACGAGACCTTTGAATTCATCTTGGACCCCAATCAAGAAAACGTCCTGGAGGTAAATGACCTGCAGGAGGTGGAGCTGTGAAATGGATGTTTGAGCAATGTCTGGCAGGTTGGAGTAACGGCATCTGGTACATGTACAGCATTTGTTGTCTCAAGGTTCCAAAGATTCTTTTTAAATCATTAAAGGCTCCATTTTGCCTTTACGCAGGGAGCTCAACAAGAGCCGAAGTGTACAGATGGTGTCACTCGAGGAGTGGCCTTGGAGCCTTTGTAGGACCGGCTGCTGAACGGCCTGCACGCTGCAGCCACGCTGCTTAGCGTCCTTCCCATCAGCGCTGAACTAGGGTCTCCCTGCGTCCTTCACCAATTCCAGCCTGTAGCTGGGCTGAAGTCCAGTCACTGCCCGCACCCTGCTGCTCCCTGAGGGGACAGAAACCAGAAGTGTGGCTCTTTCTCCCTGTGCCTGCAGCCACAGTCCCAGTTACCCGCTTAGAGATGTTTTGAGAACCTTTGTTCTGTGTGCTAGTGTGTTGACTAAGCCACCATCTCATCCAAGCTCCTTAAGGCTTTCCGGGCTGGGTACAGAAGGTGAGAGTAGCTGCTTAGTATGTGGACATGGAAAGTATCTAGGTTTATCAGAGGTGCTTTGTTAGTTTGGTACTCTTAGGGAATGGCACTAAAACATAACCATGCTCTTAGTCTGGCTTAGACTTGTTTAGTCTAAGCAATCTATTTCTTTATAAGAAACATTTGTAGAAATGCAGAGGAAGAAGAAAACAAGAACTTGGGTTAATCAACCTGCCTCTGTGGAAAATAAATATAATAATATGGGAAATAAAAATGTTATTTTTCTACCCGATGAAACTATGTAATCTTTTTTTCTGAGCCTTTGATTGCAGATGAGCAAATAGTAGGAAACAATGTAATGCCTGAACAGTTTTTAATAGCTGCAGGTGTCACAATCGGATAGTAAAGCTTTTGAGTTTAGTTTAAACTGCAATTATAATTTCGTATAACTGTATCTATAATTGAGTGTCTTTAATTTTTTAACCTCTGTAGAATCTCTCATAAATCCTGTCTCCTTTATGAGCTCTTGCACCTTGTAGTTTCATCCTTTGTGAAGGAAATACCAAGTCTGGGATGGTACTTGGTGTTTTTATGCTTGCATTGTACATGCAAACCAGCTACTTCACCAGGAAGGACTCAGCAGAAATATTATTAAAAATAATAAATATTGTTAAAAAGGACTCAGCAGAAAATTACATACTGGAGGAGCAAACAAATGAAAATGATCTAAGGGGAAAGTAAAAGAGGTAACTCTGCATTGGAGTTATACCTGCAGCTTTTGTAAAGCTCAGCATCATTCTCTTGGTTTTAACCAACAAACCGTTCTCTTGGTTTTAACCAACAGACTAGTGAGATGTAATACAATCAGCATCTCCATCTCCATTAAGACTTGAATTAAGTCTTGGAATTTCTTTAGGCTTTTTTTTCTCATTACATTTCAAAATGCATTTATGAGGTAAGATAAGGTAGGAGCTCAGAAATGGGATCACAGCAAGCTTCTTAGTAGGTTTTGTGCCCCCCAGGATGCTGGATTTTGGGAGATAAGGATACGATGCCAAAAGCAAGGGTCAGATTCTTACGGTTACCCTGGGCAGCTTTCCTGGTAACGTGTCAGTTGAGTGTAGAAGTTTGCTGGGTGATTTTAGCAAGATGAATTACTACGCCGTGAGTGGCGGCGCCTCGTGGCGCACTGCCGCTGCCTTCAGCGCCGCGTCGTGCCCTCACACCCCACGTTGGGACGTGGCCAGCTCCCTGTTCCCTACCCTTGAAAGCTCCCAGCTATTTCTGACCAGGGTGGGGCCTCAATTATTCACTGACTTCTACGGTAACAACGTGACTAACTCCCTTCCTGCCATGGTGAGAACCCCAGGTACTGAAACCTCTCCTCCACTTGGGCTAGCGTTCTATGAGGTGATTCTTTATTCTTTTTTTTTAGCATGGCTTTACAGACTAGCTAGACAGCACAGGATTTTATGAGGTGGCCCTCCATTGATTTCCAGCATACTATTTTCCATGCGGCTGCCGCATACTGCTGGATTTCTGTGAGTCTCTGTTCCCTGTAACATAATAAGAATCATTGTAAGGAGAGTCTGGAAAAATCAAAATCTTTAACTGGATCCCAAACATGGCTTTCGCTTTGAAGAAATCCCCTGAAGAGTTTTTTTGCTCTTGCATTGGTTTTGTAAGACAGCAGTTTTCTGTGAGAAAACTAACAGGAAAAATGCAGATGCCTTTTAAATAATGAGTTCTATCCTAACATGCAGTTCATCTTTCAAAGGATTGCTCGTGGCACAAGATGAGGAAGATTCTTTATAAATGAGGAGAGATTGAACCCAGATATACAGCAACTAGTCACTCAAGTGACTTTGTCTTTATTCCATTTGTTTCATGTAAAAGATACGGTCCAAGCCGCAAACACATGATACTTTAGAAGATGCAGTTGCACAAAGTGGAAAAAAAACTTATAGGCCAAGTCTGTTTGGAGAACTCGCTTAATGGGAACCATGTAAATGGTAACTTGAAATTCTTTTTCAACATCTTGAGAACTTGGAAGGCTCATTCTGGGAAAAAAAAAGGCAGCTATATGTAGACCCATGTGAATGTGTGGAAGCATCTACTGGTGTTCTTTAATATCCACAGAAGTGTTTGGATGGTGTCCCCTCTAGAAAAGGTATATGCGCTAACATGGAGGATATGAGAAGAGGCTTGATCTAGTTGAATACCAAGGAAAGCTTTGTGTAATATGGAATGCTGGAAGTTTTGCCAAGTCATTACAGTGAAATTCTTGGTCTTTAGATGTAGGGCTAGAGTGTGCAGATCCCGTTTCAATCTTTGCTGGGAAGTGACAGTCGCATTTAAAACTTTTATGAGTTTCTCCATGGATAGATTTTATTATTTGGAAGTTTAAAGATAAAATATATCTGTCAAGAAAGGTAGTGAGATTCCAATGGTGGAAATGTGCTCAGGTGAAAAATGCTTTGTCAGTGGTACTGTCTAATTTGTGCCATGGACTGCCTTGGAAGTGCCACGTACGCTGTGCATGAGCTTTCCTTTTTTTAAAAAAAATACTGCTGACTTATACTGGCCGGTAATTGGGTTGGTTGGTCAGAGTCTTTTCCATTACCTCCCTTTTTTATTTTTATTTCAAGCATAGGCTGTATGGAATTAAAGATGTCCTTGTTAGAGTAGAATTGAATGTGTGTGTATCTTTTACAGGTCACTTTGATGGACGCTAACTATGTTATGGATGAGACTCTTGGCACAGCCGCATTCCCTATAACTTCCCTGAAACTGGGAGAGAAGAAGGAGGTCCAGTTAACTTTCAACAATGTAAGTTGCAGTGGTGGGTAGCTTTCCTGCTGCGGCACTGAACGTGGTAGAAAGCCCTTCAGGCAACACCTGGGCTTTGGGTAGGTGAGTGCAGACCATGTTCCAGTCCTTTGTCAGGTGTCTGAATTTTAGCTCTGCCACATTCTGGTTAAATAAAAGTGTCTTCACAGATCACCCAAAAGTGGCTGCTTATAAAGAGTCAAGTATCTCGGTCTGTCAGAGTGTTTCCTCAGTCCTGCTGAAGGATCAGAAGAAGATTTGACCCACTGTTAATACTTATTACCAGATAAAAGGAAATCCGAGACCATTTCTGATTGTACCAGTCTTCCCCAGGACTATACCTCAGTGTTAAACTAGGGTTTAATTTCAGGGGTTAGAATACATCATGAAGTGGGTGATAATGGCAGTTTCCATCAGGAAATTGCTCCGTTTTGGGGGCTTGGAGTAGCCCAAGGAAGGATTGCCCTCTCTTTGCTTTGCTCTGGCGCTCAGTCCTTTTCTTAGCACATAAACTTCCATTTACCTTAATGGTCTGTGTGAGCGTGAGAGGTTCTGCAGATGGTGCCGTGCAGAATGTTCCATCTCCCAGGAAGCCACCAGGAAAGCTGTTCCTGTTGGACCTCACACCTCCAAAAAGGGGCTTTTCCTAACGCAGCAGCCCTAGTTAACACATCATGTGTATTGCAGCAGTGTGATTGCTCTAAAATAAAGGCAAGTGCCCTTTGGGTTATTCTCTCCAAGCCTGCGTGCACAGCAAATGGAGTCGGTTTAGCAGGGTTTGTTTGCTTCTATGTAATTCCTGGAAGCAGTTGGTAAATCTGTGTGTAATTGGACTTTTTCTGAATATGTTAAAATCCTGTCATTTGTTACAGTACCACTCTGAGGCCATTCTGAGTATAATTCATTACTTATAGTAACATGCATCACCTCTGGTCGTCTGCCTGTGTAGCGTATGCATTTCCCGTTTGGTCTGTGGTTTATTATATGATCTTGTCTGGTGTGGTGACTCCACCTCTATTGCTCTCAATATGAGCTACCCATAAAAGCAATTAACAGGTAACGGCCAATTTATTGGATATCAGAGGGATTTGTATGCAAATTTTAAGGTTAGAGAGGTTAGACATTAAGAAAGAGCCAATGAGCTTTTGGCAATGAATAAAGAAGAAATCATGGTTTACAAAGTTTGTGTTAATAATACGAGACCTTGCAGTGCATGTTTTAGGTATGTATTAACGTCTCAACAGCACACAGCAAAGATTTGTGGAATACATAGAAAAAATCTTAGGGAAGAAGAGCAAATGCACTCTGAAATTTATAATTAGGTAGGAAACAAAGTCACACTGAGCCAATTTGTATACGTATATGAGAATTGGTATTGCTATTATTTCCATTGCACTCTGCATAAAATTATAGCAAATTACATGCTATACTTTGGAACCTTATTAAGTGGTTCACTTGTTCTCTATTGGAACACTTAATTTAGAGAGTGAGTACTTTTTTGACCACTATATTACGGCATATTTTCAGAAATACTTTCTAAATTAGTAATATAAGGTGCTGGCATAAAGTAATTACTCCTCTGGCTTTGAACCGCATGACTCTTCAGTCTGTTTGGTGCTTCCTTTGTTAATTCTTTGTATTTTCTACCCCCACCTTGTTAAGAAATGCCTCTTTCGCCCTTCTCCTGGCAGAGCAGGGCGGGTCAGTGCCCGGTTCTGCCCGGCCCATTGGCGGTTTGCGGTGCGCGGGAGCCAAGCGGAGCACGACGCTCCCAGTGCCATACCTGGGGTGTGCAGGGCTCAGCACGTGTCACTGGCAGCCCTGGCCCCACTCCAGCTTTTACTGCACCCTTAAATATCCTGTAGAAGGGTACAAGGAGACCAACTCATAGCTCATGAGCCAAGTGGGTTTAGGTGACACACAAAAGTATCCAAAATCCCCGTCCCCTGTCTTGAGTAGCGCAGTCGGAAAGTCATGGTCAGCAAAAGAAAGCCAAGAAGAGGAGAACTGTCTGAGGAAAGCCAGGACCCAGCATCGCTTACCGCCTTTCAAACACCTTTCAGTGGTATTCAGTACTACTGATGTATTTGAAGCACTTATGTATGTCTCAATAAAGGTTACTTAGAAATGAAACTCATTTGCATAGTTCAGACATTGGTGCGGACTTTTTTGCCACAGTAATTACTTACATTCCAGATGTGAGTTTGTCGTTTTTTTACCCTCTGTAAATGCTGCAATCACATTCACATATTCCTTGTTTAGGTCACAGAGTTGACTTTGGAATTGTCTCTTGAAGTCTGGTAAGTATCTCATGTAAAAAATGCGTCATTAACGAGGGTAATTTTTGCCATATTCTATTCATTCTATTATCCTTAAAATGATATTGATTACAAAAATCCATTGCTTTAACACTGAAATACCAAATACTGAAAAATCTGGAGATTAAAATTAAAAGGCTTTTTTTCCCCTCTGCAAAGTAATTGCGTCATAGTTGTAAACGCCAGCACTGATATGAACAGTTTCTGCTTTCCAGATGTTTGTAGGATCAAGAAGCAGAATGTGTGAGTTTCCCATCCTGCCCTATGTTAAGTGATTTCCTTTCCCAAGGCTCTTCCCTTCATCAGTTTGTGGACTTCAGGCTCAACTGTGATCCTCCTTGTTTTACCTTCTGTGATATCTTTGCATCTTGTTGATTCTCAGGATATATGGATGCACCTTATAAAGCTGTCCCTAAAATGTACTTTATGTATAAAATGTTTTATTCACCATGCAGCTTTGAAGTCAAAGGTGTAGATAGATCTCAGTAGGGCCAGGATTTCACCAGGTAAAGCTAAAAAGGTGCCTGCCATGTTTTCTCTAGATGTCTTGCTGTTTCTCAGGCCAGTGAGGAGAAACACCCAAAATTGCCTTGAGGCATCATCAAAAACTGAGAAAATTAAGAATGACTTGCCCTGCAAACAAACCGTTATAAGAGTTCTTTGTAGATATAAACAGCAGCACTAAAGGCTAAATGTAAATGTAGAGCTCTTTAGTAAGGCTTTTGGAGAGCAGTTAGCATTTCGCAGGGGTAATATCTGCTCATTATTTTCTGCTGGTGGAGATGTATTTAGCTGGTCCTTAAGACCACCCTACCACTTCCAGGTCTTGCACCTATGGGCACATTGCACCTGCCTGACATTGAACAAGCTTAAGGTGCCTGACTGCCTTACAACTCACAGACAGCAGGCGCTGGACCAAAAGGAACCAGCCAGGTTAGACTCAGGGATGCTCTGCCAACCACGTGGATTTTGGAAACTACATGAATCTCTAGATTACCTTTGAGTAGCCAAGATACTTAGAGGGCATCTTTGCAGATGTGTATTTCGGTGAGAGGGATATCAGGAAAACTAGTGCACCTCTCCCTGCTGCCCTGTGCGACGGGCGGTGCTCGAATGAGCCATTCGTGCACGTTTGAGTGCGGAAGAGATCTCACTGAATCAAGTGGTGCCTATTCACAGAGTTAGTGTTAGGCATGAGGTTGCTGCTTCGCTGGATATCCTGAAGCTTTTTCTGACTGCTTCTTGCTGAGGTTCAGAAGAGTGTATGTTCGTCTGTTGTTGCTCCCTAGAATCACTTGATGCAATTGTATCCCATGGATAATCATAATATAATAGAGATTGCTTCTCATGTAAAGTAGTAAGATCCATTCATATCCATAGGTGGTTTGTATTTATGTTAGTTCTGTTTTGAATTACGCTATTTGTTAAAGCCTCTCTGTTTTGAAAAACAGCTCTTCGACTGATCTGCGATTCAGCATGGCCCTGTGCGATGAGGAGAAGAAATTCCGGCAACAGCGGAGAGAGAATATCATGCGCAGTATGAAGTCATTCCTGGGAGAAGAGAGCAGCAGGAACCTGACCGCTTCCCGTGATGTAAGTCTGGAGGGCTCTCAATAACAGGAATTGCATGGCAAGATCAGTATCACTTTTGGAACCCTGCATTAGTCTCTGGGAGAGATGAGGTGCAAGGGGTCGGTATGAAGACAGTAACAAAGGCAACACAACCTCTGTTTTCTCTCTTCACCTGCCATAGTGAGGATGGAGCAAATGAGCTGTAATGTTAGATGAGAAATGATTTTATTCCCTTCCCTCCTCCTTTTCCATTTTATAGGATTAAGATTTGGAATCTTAATTCTTAGAGATCAGGGGATGCCACAGTTTCCTTGCCTCACTGGTCCTGGTCCTCTGTACTTCTGAACATCAACCCAACAGAGCTGAATGGGCTGATGGCAGTTCGGGTCACATCAGAATGGGGAATTGTACTGAATCCTACTGATTTTTCAATGATTTCATACAGCACTGCTTTGTTTCGAGTTAGTTAAGGATACACATGGCACAAATCCAAATATTTGTTCTTCAGTGACTTGTCCATCCTCTCCTTTCCTCTTTGCTCATTTTCCTGTCTCATTCTCTTCCCCGAGCTTTGACTGGGTGACTGTCTAGGAGAGTCAAGCAATTAAATTAATTATCTCAGCTGGATTAAAAATGTCAGTTCTTTCTGTACCTTTTAGTAGAATGTAGCAGTCTTCTGCAAAAAAAGGTAACCAACATAGAGATTTTCTAAGAGTCCTTTCTAAATTGCAATAATTTTTTGAGCAGATACTAACTGGGTTGCTAGTGTTTAGCTATGAGCTTTTTTTTTTAGCTAGTCAGATGTGCTAGCATGGGCTTTCCAAGGAAGATGACAGAATTTGAGCAGTATGATGTGTATTCCATCTGCAGTGGTATTCATCACAGTCCTCGGGGAAGGATATTTGTGAGTCTCTTTTTTCTTAATTTGCACTGCAGTTCTTGTTGATTGACACATGCACATTTTACAGAATGGATGCCTGTGGGTGTGATCTCGGTCTAGCACAGACCAGCATCTTCCTCTGAAAGACTGCAGAGATATTTGGTCGAGCTCCAAATTAGGGCCGGAGTGGTAGCCAGTGCCTGAGGTGTCTCCTTCATGCAGGTGAATGCATGAATAAACCCTCATGATCACCGTGGCTGCCTGAGCTTTCATATTCTTCATACCATCATCTTCCCTCATGATACCTCGCAGTATCACATGCTCAAAGTTCATCAGTTGAGGTGCCAGTATTTGCTGACTGCAGCTTTTATCCACCCTGGGAAGGACTGAGATAATGTGATCCATCTCCACATACCAAATTTGTCCTTCTAAGCTGACTTGTCAGAATTTTTAGCTGCTTCTGGCAATGAAGGAAAAAAAAACATTTTTTTTTGTTGAGCTTAAAATACAGTTTTGTCCTTATAACCTGTCATTTCTACTTTTATTGCTGCAGATCAGAGATAGCAGGAGAATTTATGGGGATGTCTGTAGTCTTAACATGGCAGCAGAAGTCAAGAGACATAATGAGTTTTCTTCGCTGCCTGTGAGTCATTGTTTGATCTTAAACAAGTCACTTACTCAGAGTTCACTTAAGTTTCTCCATCTGTGAATAGCAGCAAATGTGCCTTGCAGGGATGCCGTGAGACTTAAATACCTGTGAAATAATTACACATCCCCAGATGGGCAGATAAGGGTGCACTTATGGATCTCCATGCTTAATTTTGACACACATTCTGAAGAAAATGCTGAAGGAGACTTCTGCTACCTGTGTTAGTGCTTAGTTCATTTTTCTTGCTTTTCATGGTCTAAATTTTCTAAAACTAACGCGATCAGTTAAAGCAGACACACAGTTCTCTAAGGCTAATAATTTTAGGGCGTGCATATTTTTGTCCAAGTTTTTTACACCCTGTTTCCAGGGTGGTTGGACAAGAGACATCTGTCCCACCCATTCCCATAATATTTTATATGTTTTAAGGGGTGTTTTTTGCCAGTTTGCTGGAAAATATGATTGAGATGGCCTTTTTCTTCAGAGCTCACTTTACCTAAAACCTTTGTTTCCCAAATGCTTTTTGTTTTCATGCCCAGCTGTTGAAATGAGGTGCCCATCAGCCAAGGGGGACTGTATCCTGCACACAGGTACCCTTTCATCCTAGTGGCACTGTGCATGCTTGAATGGGACACTGCCCATGTTGTTCAGTGGAGTAAGTTATTTGAGGTGATACCCAGGCTTATTTGTTCAAACCTAGCCTTGCTCGCTCTGTGTCGTGCCACACAGACGAGCCGTAGGAGCAAGGACGCCGTGGTGGCCTTTTGGTTGCTCAGAAGCGGCCACGACCCTGCTGAGTTACGGCCAGGCGTGAGAGCGGTGGGCTCCTGTAGCCAGGCCTCCCCAGTTGGGGTCACGCTTTCGCCGTTGACTCACCGCGTGACTTGTGAGTCAGGCAGCCTCTCAGCCACACTTGTGCTAAGCTGCCCGAGTGGGTGTTGCACCTCGGGCCCGGTGTAGCTGACTGTGTACAAAGGGCTTTGGCCTCCGAGCGCCACATGCGTCAGCCTCCGCCTCCCGCCTCGCCTCTTTCTCCATGGCGAGGTGGCTTCTCGGGGCTCTTCCCTTCTGCCACCTGCCTCCCCGCTCCATCCGCACCGTTTGTCCCACAGCAGAGCTTGTAGGGCCTGTGGGGCTTTAACTCTTACCTTTTCTTACCTTTCAAGCTGTTGGAAACTGAATTGCCGCTGGAAGACCTTTCTAGCAAACCTATTTGTTTGCTTAATGAGTAAATTGGCAGCATAAGTAGTAAATGAGGGAAAGTTAGTGCCTAGATGGAACATCAGAAATAGAGAAACTTAAGTACACTAGTTACTTTCTGGCTATTATTTTGGTGTTTGATAGGTTTATTTACCATGGGAGACTTGCTTAAGCCACTGAGATTTGTCTTTAGTGCTTTTTGGTTGCATTTAGTTTCTGTAAATCAAGCAGTGACTTGTACTTTGCCATTCTCCAGATTGTCTTTCATCATCAGCAGCTAAAATAGAAGCGAAAATAGTTGCAAGTCACATGGAGCCATTTTGAACCCTTTCTGGCACAGGAATATCAAGTGGTTCCTCTACCTACACACACACCTCTGTCTCTCCTCCCTCCCTGCAGGACGCTCTAATTACTGGGATGTCTGTGGATTACAGGAAGCATTTTTGGTCAGGATGCTAGTGCCTCTTCTTGGCGCTATTGTATTGATCCTATTTACAGATTTCTCTGCATGCTGAAGGAAACTCAGATTTTCCTTTGTGCTCGTGCCATTTTGATGACTAGATCTGGTGAACAACGGTGCTGCTCATACAAACTTCTTCCAGGCTTGCACCTGCAACCACCTTCTCTTCATCCTGTTGGGATTTGCCTGCCTGGGTTAATTAGCCTGTGTTTGTAAGGAGCTTTCAAAGCTTAGCATGCATTCATAAACGTGTGATTAGTAATGTGTGTCTCTGCTGTTCAAAGCGACTGCTCCGTTATTGGGGTGTTGTCTTAACAAAACAGGCACGTCCTAATTCTTTACCTTTTTCCTTGTCATTTCTTGATTAATAGCTATCTCTGTAGGTGCATGATGAATGCTGATGCCAATACATACCTGTGGCCCTTATTAATAGGGCTTCATGCTCCTAGAGCAAAAGATCAAATCATCTTGTTGGATCAAGAATCAGTATTTTATTTGTGCAGAACAGAAGCCTCAAGATAATTTCCCACCTTATTTGGTCCTTGTGAGGGATCGTCTCCATGCGGCTGCATGTGCTTCAGCCTGCAGAGAGTTTCACTGCTTGAACTACCAAGTCTACTAGAAGAAAGTGAACTCACTAGTCCCATGGGTGTCATGTCACCTTTTTTTGTTATAGCTAATCTGATCCATTACCACATTTAATATTTTCAGCGATTTTTTTTTGACTCATTACCAGCTTGATATAATATAAGCTTTCTGCATAAATACGGAGTTTTTAATGCTAAGTAACAGCAAGCAGGTTGTTACTGAATAATGGAAGATTCTTCCGGGTTTCTGAAATTAGAAGGAAGATGGGCCACTAGCCTAGGTTAAAACACTTGCTGGTAGCAGTTGGCTATTTTGTCTTCTTTCCAGGTACTTGAGGGAGCTCTACAGGAGAAGGAACAGCTTTTTAACTCAAGCCTTGAAAGGTTGGAAAATGAGAAGGATCTACAAAAGATATGTAGATATGATTTCAGTGTGGGGCTACTTGTTTATGCGCACGTTTAACTACTCTGATATCCAAAATGAATAAAAGTCTATATACTCAAACGTGCGCATAAACTCTCTTTCCCTCTTCTTCCCTCTTCTGTAGTTTTTTTGTGCAGTGGTTTTATTTTCATGCTATGTAGTAATATCAAATTTTTAATGTGTATTTAACTCTGTTCTGTTTCTGATTAGTAACTTCTGCTGCTTTTGGCTCTGTTACACAGACATTTTTTAGATTAAGGCTGGTCTTTGGATTGCAATAAACATTTCTATGTGTTGTAGCTGTCTGTAGTTACTAAACGACTAAATCTCTTCTGTTTTGTTTATTTCCTGGATTATTGGTGAGCAGGACAGGCATTCTTAAAAAAAAAAAAAAAAAAAAAAAAAGGATTTTTTTTAATGTACAAATCTTGCTGCGAATGCAGATTTCTTCAAATACATTTTAATCTTCATATATGGATCAGATCTCTAAATGACAGAGGGTTGAGGGGGCAACAGCTTACAAATGCTAAGACCTGACTTGATTTATTCAGCCGTAGTGTAGATTAATTTATTGTACTTAGAAATTTGGAGTTCTATACATCGGTTTTGGTGGACTGGAAGACATGGCCAGTCCTCAGTGTTTTACATTCACTTTTTTTCTTTTAACTATATGGATGCTGGGCTGATGAGATCTGTAAGCAGCAGCATCTTCCTGTGCTTGAAAACAAAGGATTCTGTTCCGTGATGATACTGCATCCTATTATCAAATAGAAGGAATAAAAAGTACCTTATAAACAGAATCATTAAAAGATCGTTTGGAAGGGACTGCTTGTCCCACTGGTCACTGTAAGTAGCATTATTCCCCCACACTCGTTTTATTACCAACGAAGAAATTGGGAAGATTCTTCTTAGCCAGTCCCTGAGTCCCGATTCCGATGCCAGTTGTCCCAGCCACTGTCAGATCCAGACGTCGGTGTCAGGAGCCAGGTCAGGAGACTTCTAGTTGTTTACAGAAGGCCTTACCCACTTTGTCCTGCTTCTCAGGTGGTCTGTCACAGGCTGCCCCATCTCTGGTACTGATTTCTGTCTGATCTTGACCCAGGAGCTCCCACAAGACCCAGCTCTGTTTACAGCCTGACTTGCTGGGTGGTTCAGGAGCTGCCTGTCAAAGAGCAGAGCCCTGCTGTCCCTCCCAGCAGCCGTCCCTTCCCTGGCAGTACTGTGTCACACGTGCTGGCCCAGCCATCCTTGTCATTCTGATGGTGCCGTAGACCAGTGACCGCACATGACTCCCACGTTTTCTTCTTTGATATCCTCTCTCTGTGCATTATCAAGTCTGTTAATGAAGGAATTTGTCATTGTGTTGGTCAAGTGGATTCCGCTTCTTCCCAACGGATCTTCAGCAAACAAGGCTTCATATTCAAGACGACAGTGTCTTCCTGGTGATACCGCCTGAGCCTTTCCCCTTCCAGACTGGAAGGATCAAGTCTACAGGCTACAACACTGGGCCCTGTCCCCTGCTCTCTTGCTCTAAGGATGGGCAAGGCAGCCCACTTGGAAGAGCAGCAAGGGGTAGTAGTTGGAGTTTGCTGCCTTTATATCTACGTATTTTACTAGTTACCTCCTTTTTGTTTGCACCTCCCGGTCCCTGGGTGCCAGACTAATATGCCATTGGAAGTCTGCTTGCCCCTCTGGGCAATTTTCTCCTGAGTGCATCTGTTTGTTAGCACCATATACTGCCTTCCCCCCGGGCTGCAGTACTACTGCCACCCAGCTCTCTGTCAAGCAGGGGGACTGGGTAAATGACACAGCTATTTTGCATCATTCCTGGGTCCAGGGTACCTAGGCAGGTAGCTAACCTCATGGGGTGGCTTTGTGGTACTGTGCCTTTCTAATTCCCTTTAAATTCAGGGAATTTAAAAGTCATATTTTAAAGTGATGTATTAATATTTGCCATTCACTGCTACGTGGATCATTGGAGAGTGACTTTCAGAATCACACAAGGCTACTGCATTTGGACAGCAGTTGGCTCATAAACTCTTACTTACTTCTTTAAATCTGTATCAAAGTTGATGTGCTGATTTGCTGTTCTTTTTATCTATACAGGTACCAGTGATAGCAGTACTGGGTTCAGGCGGTGGTTTTCGTGCCATGGTAGGGTTTGCTGGAGTAATGAAAGCGCTCTACGAATCAGGAGTTCTAGACTGTGCGACTTACATTGCTGGTCTCTCTGGATCTACATGGTAAGGTTCTTTTTTTTTTTTTCCCCCCCCCTTTTTTAATGCTTTTGCAGGTGTGGATTGCCTTGTTTTGTGTCTGTTGTAACTGTTTCAGTGGCAAGTTGTCTATCATTTATTAAAGCACTTGGTCAGTCAGATGGGGAGGAAATGTCTTTCAGGATATCTCTACATAGGGATCCTTTCTGTCTGGCTGAATAAATGGTTCACGCCATGAAGAGGGGCAACAAGAGGAGTCAAAAGGATTTCGCTGGGTGAATGGCACTGGCTGCTGTGAAAGGAAGGATTTTTTCAAGGAAGATTCCTAATTGTCACAAAATATAATTTTATCATAACAAATACTTTCTGTATCATAAGCAGTTTGAATATTGAAGTTGTATCTGGAGTAGTAATCCAGTCTGGGGCCACCTAGCGTGAGCAAGATGTTAACAAATAGATAAATTCCATCGGAGGATGACCAAGGTGATGAGGAGCACATGTAGGCTCCGGCTCCGGGGCTGCACTTGTTTAGCCTGGAGAAAAACAGGCCAAGTCTGGAACTGAGTCTCTGAACTAAGAAAATGTTTCTTTGTTTAGTTTTAACTACAAAGATTTAACAGCTCCAGTATTGTGTTTCTGGTGGGTTTTCTGTATCACTGATGCTCGTGGGGAAGGGGCATTAACTATTGCTTGTTACAGGAGCTGGATTTACCTTTGTGAAATCAGCAGCAGCAGCAAAAGATCCCATTGGGCTGGAGTAAAAGGAATTGAGTAGTGTAACAGCGTGAAAAGCTTTCAGGGTCTATCTAGGGGATGTCTAGGTGTTGAGTGTCAGCCGAGGGTGCAAATAATGTAAAGATTGATCATTCTACTTCTCAGGAATGAATGAATAAATTCATCATTCACCATTCTCAGCAAAGCTGTTTGTGCAGGATTTCATATCTCGATAGCTGGACAGAGTATTGAAAATGCCCTTTTCAGCCCTCTCACTTTATTTGGAGACAAATATCAGATAGTTGAGCCCTTCCTTATGAATAGAGAGCTTTGGGAAGATTCATCCCCATATGTTGACCCAATGTAAAACTGGAATCTGTATTAAAATAGCAACATGATCTGAACTGATCCAGTCAGAAACATACATAGAAGACATACAAAGGTATTTTGGTGTTTTTTTTTTTATTATTTTATTTTTTCTTTTTTCCTTAAGGAAACAAGTCTTTTCTAGCTTGGTGATACCACCTGTTCAGCCTTTCCTTGCTTGATGACTGACTAAATTAACCGTTTGTCTCACTGCATTTTCTGTCTCCTCTTTTCTCCATGCTGTGTGTTACCTGGCACTAATGCTCTCCATTTCTTTTCCTTCCGAAGGGCGGAGGATTCCTTTCCTGGAGGGAGAGGCAGGTTTCTGCTTGTTGCCCGAGCTGCATACCTAGCCTTGGAGCAATGCATTTACCTCCCTGCCTGCTTCAGCTGCCTGGCCCCCACCTTATGCTGCGTCCCCGCTGCCGCCTTTTCCCCGCTCTGCTCACAGGGAAGCTTTAGAACCTGTGCTCACACAACAGCCTCTTGCATGTGACGAGGCTCCTCGTGCCACCAAGCAGCCTGCAGCACAGAGACCTCCCAGCACAGCTAACCCAGCGCGTGCCTCGCTGCAGCTCAGTACGTATAGCTGAGCCACCTAGTTATTGCCAGTAACACTGAAATGAGCCTCCAGGAGCTCGGGAGAGCCTGGCTTGAGTCTTCATTACCTAAAACAACCAAGTGACAAACTGCACTTGCCTGCGTGTGTGCCTAGACTTTGCTTTTGCTGAGTAAGCAGTTTCCAGGGTAACCCAATAAGTTAAATCTCTGCATGGGTTGTAGTTATTGTGCTTATCGTAGTGCAAACACTGCTGGGTCCTGGAAAGTGTGCTGCTATGTTTTAGGGATTTTTGCAAGATGAACTGGATGAACTGGAGGGTGTCAGTGAGGTATGTCTTAGAGCAGAGGAAACTTCTGTGCCCTGAAAAAAGAAATGGCAATTTCCTGTATAAATGATGAATAAATTACTCTGCTTTAATCATCAGCATATCATACCAAATTATTTATGGGCTTATGGTTCAGGCAGCTGATACTGCACCGGGCTTGGGTTCTTACTGCAGCCTCTTTTCAATTGCAGGTACATGTCAACTCTGTATTCGCACGCAGAGTTTCCAGAAAAGGGGCCCAAGGAGATTAATGAAGAACTGATGAACTCCGTGAGCCACAACCCACTGCTGCTGCTCACCCCCCAGAAAGTCAAGCGCTACATTGAAGCCCTGTGGAATAAGAAGAGCTCAGGGCAGCCTGTCACCTTCACGGATATCTTTGGAATGCTGATAGGTGAAACACTCATCCATAATGTGAGTGTGTTTCTTATGAGCTCTAGAGTTGTGAAAGTATTGTGCAATAGTGTCTGTGCACTTTTTTTAATGACCTCAGAAACATTTTACCCATCCCATTTAGCCATAGGAATATTTAAATTTACATTTAAACAATTACTACCCAAGGAATGTGGAAAATGCCTTACCCTGGGATGCTTCTCTGAGTGGTGCTCGTTCCTGTAAGAGGACGCAAAATGTTGTGTGTTCATATGCAATGAAAATGAGCTCGACTACTGGATGCTTGCAACATGCTACAGTCATGGAGTATCATCCATGAAAATTACCACTTAAGCAATTAAAAAAAAAAACTTTCCAAGATGTCGTAACTCCCTTAAGTATATTTTGTTACAAGAAAAACATTTGCTTATCAAGATATTAATGCCAAGGTGAAAGACCAGTAAGACCACACCTCTGTTTTTTTTCTGTAAATGTCACAAACAGCATTTTCTACTACTTGGAACCTACTTGAATTGGGTGTAAACTGTCAAGTGCAGTTGGTTCAGGTAAATAGAATTTGCCTTTGATCTTATTGCAAGATTGCAGTATGTTAATAGGTTTATATACTTGTAGAGATCATGAGTACATGTTTCCATTAAGCTTTTTTAATACCTAAAATACTGAAGAACAGGCAAACATATATTTAATAGGTAAGTTAGAGGGTGAGTTCCCAAAGTGCAGGTGTGTTAATGATCATATGAGTTTGTCTAGAAGGCCCCATTTACTGAGGAGATAAACCAGTCCCAGATGTTTTAGCTTAATGCAGAACCCAATGCAGTCCATGAAAAAAATGGAAATAACCAAGGCTCTTGGTTGTTCATAGATAACATTTCCTACTACAATGATACTGTAATGGTTTTCAGTTGTTTTTAATTTACACACTCCAGAATATATTCTGGAGGAGATGCCACCTATTAATTGTCTATCCCTCTTAGTTATTGCTGCTGACTTAGGAGCATCGTAGATTGAAAATCCTTACATGATCCTGAGTGGTGACCCTGTGTACAAGAATGTTTTTGCAGTGTCAGTGCATGTCCCCTACAGCAGCAAGGGGAAGCACTTGCTTTGTCCATCAGTACTGTTTTCTTTTTGGCCATCTTACCTTGGATTTCATAAGTTATCATTATTTCATCTTCCTACAAACTCTGTTTCCCCTTCCCTTCCAATGTTGTTTGTAAAACTGTTTGTAAAACTGCTGTAAAACTGTAGATGTGGAAAACAGATCAGTGCCTGTGAAAGGAGAACATCCAGGCTGTAGATACCTACAACTTCTGTTCTCTTGTGTTTGCGTTCCTTGTGCAAGTTGAAGGGGCTCAGGCAGAACTTCTTTCTTTCCACACAGAGAATGGACACCACTTTGAGCAAAATGAAGGAGAAAATCAATGAAGCTCAGTGTGCTCTCCCCCTATTTACATGTCTCCATGTCAAACCAGATGTCTCGGAGCTTATGTTTGCAGGTATGGTTTTAATTTGTGTCTTCTTGAGCTGCTTGTGAAAAAAAAGTACCTGGCTGCAAAAGGGCCTCTTAGTAATTCTGAGACTAATTGGCTTCCCACAACTTAAGTGCACTTTGAAACTGCTATTCCCGTTGCAAGAGTTATGAAGTCATTTGGCATGAAAGTAAGCATGCATTAGATTTTAATAAGATTGTCAGTATTATGAATTATAATTATATAATTATAAATGTTTTATCTAACACATAATTCTATATATAATATTTATGTGATTTATATAATAGATATATCAATATAAAAAGAATAATTTTGGAACAGTTAGACCAATTGGTCTAATAAAAGCTATTGCCCTTGTTGGTGGATCTTGATTTTTCCTATTTCTGTCCTCTTTATCATCAAGTATGCAGGATCCAGGCTGTTTCCCTTGCTAGCTTCTCTTTTCCTTCTAGAATAGACAGAACAACTGTCCCTAATGTGAAACACGTAGAAAGTTCTGAGCAGAAATATTTATACGTTCTTCCTTGCTAGTTTAATAGCTAGGGGTAAAATCATTCATGTTGTTTCATGTTGAGATGCATGAATTCTATCAGATAGCATTCCTCCCTTCCAGGAGCGATGGTGCAAGATTTTGTGCCACTGCTCACTGCTTTCATGCTCCAGGCTCTGCCTATTTGCACTACCAGTCGTGTTTCTGACCCTGGTGGTGCCGACTGTACCCAGAATTTCTGCAATCATCATAACTGAACATAATTACTGTGACTTATTTCAAGAGAGGTCTTGTTTTTCTTTCTTTAATAAGACATTTTCTGATGGTAAAAAGGGGAGTGGAATTTAATGTTTGGCTTTGGCTGTAATGCTTGCCATGTTTCTGTCCCCCTAACAGCCTCACTCACCTGCTGTGTCAGACCAGCCCAACTCAGGATTTGGGGCTGCCAAATCTGCCTGCACTTAGTACGTGCTCGATTAAACCACGGCTGAAAATGCTAATCCAATTTATGGCAACAGAAGCACCTCAAAAAGACATTTGAAAGGGAGGCTTCAAAATATAGCTTTGCTCTTGGAATGGTTTTCTGCTCTGTTTCTGCCCTTCAAGGAGAAGCTTCTTTCTTGGGACAGATTCGTTCCAGTCCTTCCCATTGAAATGGCTCTAGTCTCTAGGAGTTCGAGGAATGACAGACACTAAATGTGAAAGTCTTTAATTTTAAGACATAAGTCAGCTTATTTCCTGAAGCTGCGGATCTAAGTTGAGAAATTGTCTTCCTTTATGCAATTATGAAAATGAAAATTACCTATCATAGAATAAATTAACTCTGTTCCTAAATTTAGTATCGCTCTTATTAAAAACATGGTTTGGAAATAGACCGGAAGGTTAGACTGCCAGCCCCCATTTAAAGACCTTAAAGGGAAATTCATTTAAATTCCTAATCTGCATCTCTCAAGGAATTTCCCTCTATGCCAGTAACTGTGAAGATTTGTGGGTGGTCTATTTAGCAAATGGGATGTTGTATTTGACTTAGAATTGATAAGCATTGCCCCACAAAGTCAAACTCGCTGTTTGTGATTACGTCTTGCCTTTTCATGATGAATTGTTAGTCTTATTGTTAACATTTTAACAGAAATTCTGAATATTTTGGGCCTCTTGGGGCTTGTTGTCATTTTTTAGAGATGTTTCTTGTGTCTTTCCTATTACTTCTAACTTATAAAGTAAGTTAAATCAATCACTGCTAAAGCATTGGAGGAAAAATGGGTGAAGAATTAGAAGTTTTGGAGTTTTTTTGTTTTCATAGCTTACTTTTTGAAGTGAATTCTGCATTGTGAGCAATTCTAGTCACTCTTTAAAAGCATTCAAAAGCAGCTAAAATCCACTCGATGTGACAAAGGATCACACTGACATATGAGGGGGAAAGTTCAGTCATTTTGGGTTTTTCTTCTTCACAACTTTTGCTTCTCTTCTTATGATCTCTTGTTTTTCCACAGCAGCCTGTTGTGGTAAGAGAGGGTGAGGCTTCCTTCTTGATTTTGACATCAGACTTCATTTAAAATCAGAGTTTTGCTTCTCCATGACCTTAAAAGAGATTTCCTCAAACTCACTGGTTATTTAGCTTTCTATTTGCTGAAATTTCTTTCCTTGGAAAGAAATCAGTTTAAGTATGTTTGGTCCTATTGCAGACCCTCTACAGCCCAAGATTTCTAACTGAACACTTTTAAATTTTTTTTTTTTTTTTTTTTTCCAGATTGGGTGGAGTTCAGTCCATATGAGATTGGCATGGCGAAATATGGCACTTTTATGTCTCCTGATTTGTTTGGAAGTAAATTTTTTATGGGGACAGTAGTGAAAAAGTACGACGAAAATCCTTTGCATTTCTTAATGGGTGAGTGTGTGTTAGGACCTATTAAAATCAATTTCAATATTCTGTTGAAAATGCCTTTAAATACAATCACGAAAACTTGGAAACAACTGGAGTCCTTGCTCCCAATTTGTTGGAAGACTTCCATTTGAAAGATTTCACAGATATGAATGGATACTTCATATTTTGGGGCAGCTGGTGTGTGCACCTGAGTTTATGACAGCATATTCCAAAATCCATATTTACAGAAGGTTATTCCAACTGCAAGTTGTTACTCAGAGTGCCATACCTGTATTTTTTTTCTTCTACCAGCCTCCACTCAGTGTTTATTTCTTCCCTTTCAGGTGTCTGGGGCAGTGCGTTTTCTATATTATTTAACAGAGTGCTCGGAGTCTCCAATTCCCAAAACAAAGGACCCACCATGGAAGAAGAACTAGGTAATATTAGTGAATAATTGTACCGTGTAATATTAGTGAATAATTGTACTACTAAGCACAGCAGTTGCCAGCAAGTTTCCATGGACTCGCACATGCTGCATGTGGCAGGGTGACAGTCTACTCATGGTCATCTCTGGAGTGTCTAATTCAGCCGCTAATTGCTGATGTTACTAGAAGCCAGTGAGGAAAGAGAATGGGTAATTTCCTTTTCTTTCTTTCACTTTTCTTTCTGATTCATCCAAGAGGAACCAAAAGTGATCTTCTTGTATCTACCAACTGTTTGCCTAACAGAAAGTTATGATTCCAACTCCCTTTTCCATTATGCTAGCTTTGGGAGCTCAAAAGCTGACAAATAAATGATAATTGTTTGTATAATATCTTGATACTGGATTGGAATAATCAGGGGATTAGTCAAGTGAAAACAAAGCTTTTCTTTTCTTGGTTGTTAGATCTGTTCCCTGCTAACCACAAGTCATCTGTTGATGTCTGATGACTCCTTGGCTTGTTGCCGTAATTTTTGTTCCATTTCTAATGCTCAAAAGTCAAAGAAGCTTGTCAGGAGAGAGTTGTAGCTTGCTTGGGATAGGCCTTACGGCTTTTTATTTATTTATTTATTTATTTATTAGAATGCATTTGATAGCAAAACAGTTTGTCGAAACTGAGAGGGAGGCTTTTCTGGGAAATATAATTAAATCAGTAGTTAAATGGTACTAGATGGCCATTTCCTGCCCTAACAGTGCATAGAGAGAATGCACACTGAGTTCATTTAAAAACAAACAAAATCCCACACTCAGCTGTCCCTTTCTCCTAATATATTATTATGGAGAATACATGTCCTTACTTATGGAGACCTGAACCCTGAGCTTCGTATATCTGATGTATTTCATGGGTGTTAATACCTTCTAATAGGGAATATGTTTGATGAATTTTGATTGTTAACAAAAATGTCTTGCTGCTTTTTTAAGATGCTGAGAGATGGAATTTTGTGCCCCATCTCTGCCTAAAGTCTCCATTTCATACATAATATAAAACATATTCTCTAAAATGGGAGTGGATATGAAAATACTCAGGAAACTTGAACCACAACCTACTGGTATAGCTGGAAACCTCCCAATGAAATGGGAAGTTTTCCCAATGAAAGCTACCAGTGAATGGCAAAATACCAGTGGATGGCAGAACAGCTTCACACGCCTTATATAAGCAGGGAATAACTTAGCATGGAATTTCCTCTGAAGCTTTGCTGCATATTTTTAAACATGGGTGATTACTTTGTATTAGTTATCAGAAATATGTAAATAATCTTATCAGTCTTTAGCGCATTTTTCCATGAATTCACTTCCCTTACAAACCTTCCCTGAGTGGAATACTCTGCTATTGCTGTGCTCATTTTGACATTGAAGTAATTGCTGGAGATGGTATTGAACAATTTCAGCCCAATTTTGTACTTTTTATGGAATTAATAATTCTAATGAAATGCAGATTTTAATAATCCTAATGAAATGCAGATTTGATATATTCTGAGCATGCATGTCCACAAACAGCTCCAGTCTCCTCAGCTCACTATTCCTCTGTTAAGACTAGGGTAATTTTATTCCTCAATTGTTTTGCCATTATTAGCTATACTCCCATTTAACCCTGAGCAAACTAAAGTCATCTTTTATTTCTTTCACCAGAGAATATTAGGCTAAAGCACCTAGTGAGCAATGACAGCTCAGACAGTGAAGATGAATCACAGCATCCAAAAGGTAAGGAAATCCCCCTGTCCTATTTTGTAATTTACTTTTCTCTGCTTGCTGCCTCGTGGTTTATTTATTGGTTATTGCTAAGTCTTACCAAAGATCTGTTTTAGCTCTGCTGCCATTTATGCCAATGGTAAAAATTCAGCGCCCACGTTTTAAAGGATCCAGTGGCTCAGCAAAATAGAGCAGTGTTGCAGAGGAGACCTCAGCAAGGCCTTCAGCCTGACTGCACATGGTTCTCGTGCAGAATCAGCCCTGGCATCGGTGTGTCAGGCCTCCCCAGGGCTCTGCAGTTTCATACACATGCAGAAATTACTCTTGATGAGCCACGTATACAGACATATATGAGTCGTTATTAGCCTGGCAAAATCACCAGTATTTTTCAAGGGTCTTTGATCAAATATTTACTGGAGACTGGTTTAATTTGTGTTTCCAGCATGCGCAGATATCTGCTAGCACCTGTGCAAATGACACCTGATACAGGAAATTCCTAACTTTTAAAAAGTACCCGACTCTGATTTCCCAGAACAGGCATAAGCACTTGTGGGATGTTTGTCTGTGGGAAGACAAGATTATATGGAAAATCTTGCTTAGGTACCTAAACCGCTTGGAATGCCTGATAGAGTCTTTGCCCCATCCTAGTATTTCCTGTGCTTGATACTTCTTGGCCAACAGTGATTGTTTCACCTGAAAAAAACAATATTGCTTTTATCAACTAAAGCAGAGAAGGAAATGCAACTTCCGTGTCATTTTTAATCCTACGGGAGTAAAAGAAAATCCTGCAAAATCAGTAAATTGTGTAACTAGTTCAGCAGCCTGGTAACTTCTTCACTTCTTATTTGTAAAATTAGAGAGAAAGAGTGATGTTGCTTTTTAGGTTTATTTGCCGGTTTCCTAGTGGTTCATAACCACCAAGAAACATTAAATATAAATATGTGATTTGGAAGCACTTAGTAATATTGCTCACTTCATATGTATGCACTGAACTCTGTGGTGTTTGATGCTTTTCTTTCTTGCTCTCTCTGTGTTCAGGAGCTGCTTTATATACATACATATGTATACAGAACAGTTACTTTAAGAGGCTAGATTAAAGAGGCACATTTCAGCAGTGAATTGTACTTTTTAGTTTGCCAAAACCAGATATTTATTGGACCCTAAGTTTACTGAAAGGTTATTGTCAGTTGAAAAATCCGCTGCCTAAATTTCTCCTTTAGGCAGATACTGTACAATTTAATGTTTTATCAAATATCTCTAACTTCATGCATATCCCCAGAGCCTCTCTGTGATGAATACATGTCCATGTTGCGTTTGTTATCCTGACTAGCTACAGCAGGTCACCTAGCACAGTCCCACTCTGTTTTCCTGGATGGACACATCCACATTCCTGTCCTGCCAATGAGAAGTGTCTCTGGCCCGTGAAGGTATCAGAGGACACGTTATCTCCATTCCTCTTGTATTCCTGCAGCAAAGCTGCTTCATTGAATCCACTGCTTCCCGAAGAAAGGCTTTCACCTACTGCCTTTCATTTTAAGAGGTCCTGGGCCCGGAAATCTTTGTTCTGTGCTTGGAGTTAACTGTGATTCTGTGATTCTGTCTCACCGCTGCTTGCTTTGGTTCTCCCTGCAGGCACCGAAAACGCCGAGGCCAACCACGACTATCAGAACAGCAGCCAGGAGAGCTGGGTGCAGCGGATGCTGATGGCGCTGGTGGGCGACAGCGCCCTCTTCAACACGAGGGAAGGGCGGGCTGGGAAGGTGCACAACTTCATGCTGGGCCTCAACCTCAACAGCTGCTACCCGCTCTCCCCGCTGGCAGATCTCCTCAGCCAGGAGTCTGTGGAGGAAGATGAGCTGGACGCAGCCGTTGCAGGTTAGTTCAAAGAGGGCCTGTGTGCTGTGTATTCATTAATAAACCAGAAACTGGCAGTTCCTCAGCTAATTGCATTACATCCCAGCTATGAGTCCAAGAGGTGCCTGAAGAAAAGCAGGAGAAACCTTCTAAAGTGGCACTCATCAGTATAGCACTGCCCCAACAGGCCTAATATCATTCCTTTCTCTGTCTTATGTTCCCTATTGGAAATGAAACACTGTAGCTTCTCCTGCTACAGTGCTTTCCTTTTCCAAACATACTGTAGTATATCTACCACCTCTATCAGCCTCTGGAAAACCCATGGAAAAGGTCTGTCACGGTGCAGATGCAGCCTGGAGGAAGCCTCGACCTAGAGTTTCTCTGATACAAACCGTCGTGTTTGTGGATGCTGCTTTCAAGCTGACGAAATAGGAACCTCTTGCACCCGCTTGCGTAGCAGCACCCCTCTGCCAAGCAGCCCTTGCAATAGTAGTTGTCACTTCAGCCCTTATTTTCTATGTCCTCGTTGGTCGTTATGCAATAGTAAATACTAGATGTCGTTTAAACGCTTAAGTAGCAGGCACTCCGTGATGTGCATTTGTTAATGCAACAAATCCCACTGAGTGGTTGGAGAGCAATTGCCATCTGTGCTCCACTTTCTAAATATTTTCATCGTCTCAGGGGTGTTTACAACTGTGTAATCCTAATATTTACAGTGGCTATAAAAGAGGCAGGAAAGAGGGTCATAGATTTATGGTTGGAAAAAAATGACATTTGATGAGAATTTTTGTGTAATTAAGATATGTGGATAATCTTTAGAATCAACTATCAACTTCCTGGATTTTAATTTGAATTAATGCTGGTCTGACAGCATGAACCTACTTTTCTGAGGCAATTATGTTTGAGTGCCTGTCATCTGCAATTTTTCTGGATAAAAATGTATGGCAAAAGTTTGATATAAATAACTGCAGTTTTTTAATGTTAGAAGTCCACACTCCTAAACTCGAATGAATGACCATAATCTAACAACTCTGAGCAGTCTCAATATTATGGCTGGGAGTGGTGTTAAAAAAAAAAAAGACAAAAAAAAAAAGAAAAAGAAATGAGGAGTTTTCAATAGTTAATAGGAGTTTCAATAGTTAATATAAAATGGGATCATTGAGGAATGTGACTGGGGTATTGACATTTTAATGCTAGTACTGGGTTTTGCTAATACATGAGGGCCTGGGAGTGTAGAGGAGCAGGTAGAAATTTAAAACACAGTATATTAGCAAGGCACTGGATGTGTTTAAGAACTGCCTATTTATTCCTACCACTTTTGACGTAGCAACTTGAGCACAGAGAGGTCTGAATTGCCTCAAAGCTCTCTTGCTTTTAATAACTGTATTATTAATAAAAAACATCCCAAAGAAGAAGTGAATCCACAAAGATATAGAGCTTTTCACATGTGGTTGTCTCGGACCTTCCAGAGAGTCACCGAGCGGTGGTCTCAGCCTGCGGTGCCTCAGTCATTGCTGAGGATGGCGGTTAGGATCTGCAGAGATCCCAACTGCTTGGCTTGGAAGTAAAATCCTTTAGGAAGATACAGTTGTCAGTGACACAGGTCGGAGGAGGCAATTGATTGAAAATGCGATCCCAGGTACAGCATTCCCAGTGTACATCCGCTGTCTCCCCAAAAGCCAATTTGGATGAATTCACAGAGCTGGAGCTTCTCCAGCAGGTCCTACAAGGGCTTTGGGGAGGACACTGCCAAGCACCAGCTGAAATTGCCCCATCTGCACGGAAGGGGAAGCAGACACCAGCAGCTTTCCCCAGGCCTGAGGAGGAGGCTTCTGTGGCTGACACCGGTCAGGAAGAATTGGTGGCTGGTGAAAATAGCTCCATGATCCAGATTTCATGAGTTGACCACAGATAGACTCGCTGAGGATGTTCTTGGACCCCTCAGTGGCAATCAGGGGAATAGCTGCTGCTTGGTTCTGTGGAGCAGAGAGCTCCACTAGGTGCAAAAACCATTTTTACAATAAAAGTGTGAGCTCTTCAAGGGCTTGAATTCAGTGAAAACAGCAACCGAACTCCTATGTTTGGACAGGTTTTTTTTTTTGTTTGTTGTTGTTGTTGTTGTGGTCCTTTTTATGGGTGCTCTCATGGTTTGGGAATCTTAGTTCTTTGGTACTAGCTCCCTGATCCTCCTGGCTTATGTTTAAAATAGCTGCATTTAATTTGCTCATGGATCCTGTTTTTATGGACGGTCTTCTTAATTGAGCTCAAATAAGCTCTAAAATGTTTACACCCCTGAATGATTTCATTGCTCATTCCGAGCTGTTGTTTCTGTGCCTCGACATTACAACACACCAAAATCGCTGGAGAAGATGCCAAGTGAATAACAATAGGGGAAAAAACCCCTCACAGCCTTGGCTTTCTCATGTCAGTATTTATGGAAAGTCTGTTACAGGAGATGCACGTCAGCCACAAATGCCCTTTTCATCCTTTCTACTTTCATTGAAGCTGTCGGCTGCCACGAGAAGTGTTTGGAAATACACTGTAGATCCGAGCCTGTTGCAGAGAGGAAGGATACTCGTTATTCCCCTTGCCACAGGAGAGCTCTGCTTTGCCTGCAGACCAGCCTCTTGCTCCTGCCCCAGTGTAAATTAGATCACATGAAAGGCTGAGGCTGCCCTAAAAGTCATGGCATGAAAATAAAAGAGCAAATGGGATTATTGCGCTTTGCTTTTTGAGTTGTGACCCTGTGACCGGCACAGAAGTTGCAGCTGGGAACTTTTCTCCTCGGTTTGGAGATCAGGAATACACTTCTGCAATGTGTTATAACAAAAAGACGCGAGGTTGGATCTTTCCAGTGCTTTTCCACCACTTTTAAAAGTGCTCTGTACTAATGAAAAATGTACTGATAATATTGTGATACATTATTGGTGGAGTATGTTAAAATTATAATGATAAAATTGGTGATGAAATTACAAAAGCTGTAAGCAGAAGAGTGCTTATTTCTCCCCGCCTTTTGGATGCAGTTGGGACAGCGTTATTAAGATTTTAATAAGATATTTTTATTAGCAATATTCCTGCTAATCGCAGACATTATTCTAGCTGGTACAAGTCTTGTTTAAAGCATCGCTGATAACTTTGTTTTGGCATGAGGCTGAAGTTTTATAAAACAAGCGAGTATAAAACTAGACTGAAGAATGTTTTGGCAATTTTGAAGAATTCCTTTGAGATGAAAATGAAAAATGAGTTATGTGGGGTTTGAAATCCTAACTTTAAACAAGAAGGGACAAAAATCCTTTCCGTTTCCCAGGTTGAAAGAAGTTAGTGATCAGAGAAAATGCTAAAAAAAATGTAGTTGGTGTGGTTTTTAACAGTAATTCTGAAGTTATGACTCTGATAGAACTTAACAAATATATATTCTAACTTATGACTATGGAATACATCTATTTATAAAAGAGGTATCTAAACAAGGTTTAGCTCTTAATGGTGATTGAAAAGTGTTTTCTCTTAGAAATGAGGGTAAAAGTTAAGGAAGTGGTGCCTCGTTTGTTAGCACACCTTCCCCGCATACCCTGAAAGGCAAGAGGAAAGCTGCTCTGGGGAACTTGAGCTTCTGTTAATCTGGATACATTTTCTTTGCATTAAGGTATCTTTTCTTCAGCTGACTTTTTGCCAATAGGGAAATTAAATAACACAGGCAATCCCGTATGCTCTTGTGTTCGGCATTCCTTAGATTACACTGCCCTCTGCAGATAGCAGCACCGGCTCTTACCGAAACCCAGAAACACACCCTGGAAGCATCTTTAAGAGGCAGAGCAAGAAGACATTGTCAGAGAAAAGTTTTATTACTGCAAGGGTCATTGAGCAGTGGGCAAAGAGTTGGATAAATGAGAATTGCTCCTTCTTTCCCAAACGGCACTGGGATCAGTGCTGGAGTCGGAGGGGAAACATCATCTTTAGCCATCGGGTTGGGTGACAGAGATAGGGAACTATTTTGTGCTATATTGTGACAGTAGAGAGAGCTAAGTAGCATAAATTGAATTAGGTCTGATTCTTAAATTTCAAATCGGGGTTACTGTTTGTTTAAACTGTAAGGAATAGGGAGGTTGTGGGGCTTGGAAGAGGTTGGAAAGCACGTGGTTTGTCTCGTTGGTCGTATCTACAATACACAGAGGCAGTGGTTACTTGGGCAGGGCCACATCAAGGCCTGAAGACAACTTGTCCCTGCCTGGGGAAGAGGAAGGAAGGACGGGGCTTGGCAAGGGAACCTCCTCACAGCCAGCGAGTTGGTGCTCTCATTTCTTGCTCCTGTGGCCTGTGTTCCCATCCTGACTCCCATTCACCTACAGAAAGCACCTCCTCCTCTTCCCTCGTTCGCTTCCCCAACATAGACACACTCCTTTGCACTTGGTGCCTTCTGGACCGAGCTTTTTTATTCTCCATTCACTGAGCCTAGAGTTTGGATTACACAAGAGCTTGCAGCGTGCTTAGCTGGAGCTCTGTCCACTTTGCATCTGCCAAATCTTGGAAAATACTTGAAAGATTGGGCCCGTCAAAAGAGCAGTTCTTCACTGGCGTGTTTTATATGTTGTTTTTATTTGTTCTGTGCAGATCCAGATGAATTTGAGAGGATATATGAGCCCCTGGATGTGAAGAGCAAGAAGATTCACATAGTGGACAGTGGACTTACATTTAACCTGCCCTACCCACTGATCTTAAGACCTCAGAGAGGGGTTGATCTTATCATCTCCTTTGATTTCTCGGCAAGGCCAAGTGATTCCAGTCCTCCTTTCAAAGTAAGTAGCATAGACCACCCCTTCTGTTCATGTTTATAAATACAAGATTTTAATCTTCCAGGGAGATCAGCTGCAAAATTTTTAATGGTTTCTAAAGGGTATCTGCAATACTATCGTGTCTACAGCTTTGGAGCAACTTGTTTCCACGTCAAGGCAGAATATTCCACCCTGTCTCAGTTCCTGTTTACATGACTCACATGAGACAACTGACACAAAGGAGGCAAATATAATTTGGGTCTCAGTAAACCACGGTTTGAAGTAATATCTGTATTGTTTTTTTATGGAAATCTTGCCTTCAGCAATGAATTGCAGAATTTGATTTTATGACGATATTAAACAATTGAGTCATTTACTGTTGCTTTATAAAATGCGTTAAAGGAAAGAAACAGTAAGATGAAATATAGAAGAAAAATAATCTTACGTGTTTCCTAAAGCCTGTTATGCGTAAGGGAATGCCTTAGGTTGCTACTCCAATTCCATCTCATGCTTTTTTTTTTCTTTTTTTGATGTAAAAGCTGTAAAATCTTTCTACTTGTTTATTTTTTGAGATCTCCAGTGGTCACATACTGATGTACATCGGCTACTGTGATTGCATCTCATAATAGAGGACGATAATGAAAATGCATTTAAAATTCTGAAAAGTTTCTCAGGTTCTTTTTGCAATTCAGAAGTTATCAGAGTTTAATTCCCAGCACATGTGTAAATGATTTCTTCTCTGAAATTAAGACTGAGGATTTTCAGTAACCAGAGGGCTTATTGAAAGGCTAACATGAATGTAGAAGGTTTTAGTGCATGAAGGATTGATAAATATTTCAATGAAGAAATGATTACAGGTGACAAGATTATTTTCCTCCAAAGAGACTTTTTGTTATAGCAGTTTCATGAGTACTTGCGTGGGCTTTTATATAAGTATTTTGCCACTTTTCAGGTATTTTTTGCATTCCTTGCTGTTCTTGTTTCCTGATATTCTTAATATCAAGTAGGTATCTGTAAGAAGTTTACTCGCTGGGGACTTAATTTCGGGGTCACTGAGGTCAGTGGAAAATCTGAGACTCCAGATCAATCTCTTCTACAAACTGTCCACCAAAACTCAGTGCTTTCTTTTATAATCAGAAAAGTAACAATTCTTCCTGCTCTGAGGAGGAGGTATTTCCATGTCTAATGAATGAATTACTACACGTGTTGTTATGCATTGAGCATCAAGGGCATGTTTGGCACCAAGCATGAATCCTGACCCTGTTAGTATATTAAGAAGATTTCAATCAAATTGCATTAAATTAGTGAGCAAAAAAATCTAGCCATTTGCCTTAGATATTAATAGGCTATGTAGAAGAAATGACAGCAGCGATGATGAAGAGGAGGAGGAAGGTAGGTAAAGGAAGTCTGTGAAATGGATTAAATGGTGTCTTTCAAAAGTTGTTAGACGTTCTGGTCAAAACTTATCCCCGGAGATTTGCCCAGCTGGGAAAGTGGGATGGCAGGTAACAGCTACAGCAGGGGAAAGCCTGCTGTAGGCACAGCCGTCTTCTGCACAATGTTGTATTTCCAAGGATTTTCAGCCCCTTTCCATCTGGGATAGCTAGGAGCAGACTTTAGCATGGATGAAAATCAGGCCATTTGCATGTGAGCACATGTAGGAGCTGGAGCAGCTTTGGCTCAGCAAGATGGTAGGAGTGTGTGCCAGCTTTCCTTCCCTGTGTAATCCCCGCTTCATGACAGAGGGAAAAAGGCCCAAATCCCAGTTTCGTAGTTTTGTAACGATGGGAAAGGGTTGATGCGTAGTTGACACGAGAAGAATTCTACAAATTCCGTGAGCGTTAGTAGTGGGCAGGGGTGTGAGACCTCGGATGTGAACCAGCAGGTCGGGTGCTCCGGCTCGTACAGCTGCATGATGTAAATGCACGACTTCCTGTCAGCTACTAGAAACGTGCCCAGAGTTGCTAAATATATAAAATTTTTGAAGCAAAGCTGCCAAATATATAATGCTTCGGAAGTGATACTTAACTGTTCAGTCACATCTCACTAGGACAAGCCCAGGACTGGTTTGGGTAGGATTCCTGAGTCCATCCAGGCCAGAAGAAAGTAAATACACCAAAAAGCAGCTGAGCTGGCGGGGATGTGTCGTGTGCTGGGTGTGGACGGCGCAGCTGCCGAGCTGTACAACCTGTCCGGGCCAGCACCCACCCAGCTCCGAGTGCTCCGAGAAGGGTTGGAGCACCCACGTTGCAGGGGCACGGGAGCTGACACAGGGCCACGATGCGGGGTGCTCAGAGGCAGCGTTTATGGAACAGTCAAGTGAGTTTTGAAGAAGCGGATGGAGGAAATGCAGCTGCTGGAGAAACCACCTGGCTGGAGAAACCACCATCTGTGGCTTTACTGTCAAAGTTCAGGTAGAGAAATCAGACAAAGGCCGGTTTGTCCTTCCTCTTGCTGCAGAGGGGCAAAAATCCAAAGCAGCATAAGAGGCGGTGAAGTGAAATGAGCTCTTCTGTGCCTGGTGCCCAGTGCAGAGGGAAGCAGACCTGAGCAAATGCAAGGGAGTAACTCCTGGAATCACTGCAGTTATTTGGGGCCCTATGTAAGAGGGATGCGTTAGGAGGATCAGCCAGAGCTGCTCCACTCCTTAAGTTCTATCCTTTCTGGCCCAGTCCCACAGCCTCCTTATCCCTGCAGGTTTCTGGTCATTTACCAGTCCCGTCCCACTTCTGTCAGGACTGAGAAGCTCTATCCAAGATCCAGCCTGGGGCTACTGCAAGGCTCCAAGCGGTTTGTGCCCGCAGCACGGAGGGTCACAGCAGCAGATGGGCCAGCAGAAGACAATGACTGCTCGCTTGCTTCATCACTTTACACCCCCTATCTCTTAATCTCTTGCATTTCCAAACCAGTTGCCCAAAGGAGGGTCGTGTTTCCCTCCGCAGCGAGCTCTGGGCACTGCCCTTCCCTCCCGGCTCCCTCTCGTGCGCCTTTGAGTCAGTGTTTACAAACTCCTGCAGCAGCCACCGACTTGTCACGAGGGTGGGTGCAGGGGCGGCCGCTTCCCAGGCCGGGGCTCCGCTCCCGCTCCGCTCCGCGCCGGGAGGTGGCTCCGAGCGAGCGTGACGCCGGCCGGGCCGTGTTTATCAACGCGCCTCCGTTTCCATAGCGCTGCTCCTCCGCTCGCAAGAGTGGGTTTTTTCCCAGCTGTCAGCTCTGTAAATTCACCCCAAGATTTACGTGACAGCCCAACTCTTTCCTTCCTGTGAATCATCCCAGGTGGAGAAGATTGGGCAGGCTCAATTAGGTGCCCATTTCTACCTGTAAAGCCCCAGCTGTCATAAATACACAGTGTGTGACAGTTATAGAGCCCTGCACAGTCCTGCTGGATGTGTGTGGGCATAACCCATAGGATCAAGTTATGCTTCGATGTCGTCCCAGGGCTTTTCACAGCCTCTTCCCTTCATAGAGTCTCAGGGCATAAAATGTGCTTCTGAGTATGCCCTGCTGTCACTGAACTAAACTCAGAGTTCTTAAAAAATGGGGCTCCCATCCATAAAGTTCCCTAACTCCTGGAAGCTGCAAAGCATTCACATGCCGTGAGGGATCCACGATGGAAAATCTACCACTTAAAGGGGAAAAAAAAAAGGAAGGGAAAATAAAGTTTTGCCACCTTGTATGCAAAGGCTGACTTTTGGGATTAAAAAAGAGTGACTTAGTAAAGTTGCTTCCGTTAGTGATAATTTCTTTGCTCTATTTCTGTCCAGGTGAAATCCCACTTCACACTAGCTGCTTTTAATCATCTCAAACTTTATTGTCTTTCCAGGAAATTTTGCTTGCAGAAAAATGGGCCAAAATGAACAAGCTTCCTTTCCCTAAAATAGATCCGAATGTGTTCGACCGAGAGGGCTTGAAGGAGTGCTATGTCTTCAAGCCAAAGGATACCTCTTCAGAGAAGGACTGTCCGACTATAATCCATTTTGTTCTGGCAAACATCAACTTCCGGAAGTACAAAGCTCCAGGTGAGCCAGCCCTTTCTGATGCTAAATCTCGTTGCTCCTTTGAAGCTTTGTATCAGCGTATCAGTCACTATATGCTGGAAGTTTTTTTGTTCCTGACATCTCTCTTAAGCCTGGCCATAGAGATCGTGAATTTCAAAAGGTCCGTTAAAAGTGAGACGTTCCTCAGTCTTAAAATTTAGATTTTCTTTTTCAAAGTAAAGAATACATTTTGCATTTGTTCTGTATGCAGGTGTCCCAAGAGAAACACAGGAGGAGAAGGATTTTGCAGACTTTGATATTTTTGATGATCCCGATTCACCCTTCTCTACCTTCAACTTCCAGTACCCCAATGAGGCTTTCAAGAGGCTCCATGACCTGATGGAGTTCAACACCCTCAATAACATTGACGTACGTACGCCAGCATGGAAGGGGTTTTAAATGTCTGGGTGGTTAAAGGCAAGAAGTAGGTGATGCCAAAGGTGCAGGGGCTGCTTTAGTGTATTCCTTGTTGATTTGTTTCAACATGGTAAGTGCTTTCTGCAGATAGAGCTGAGCACTCTTGTTGGTTTTGGTGAAGCACCAAGGAAATCAGCACCCACAGCTGTTCACATCTGGTGGGGTCTTTGCTGTCAACTAAGAAATCATAACATAAAAAGAAATAAATCATAAAAATGTTGGTCCTTGCTCTGCGTGACACGATGCTCAACTGTTTTCCAGGTGATCAAGGAAGCTATGGTGGAAAGCATTGAATATAGGAAGGAGAATCCATCTCGCTGCTCGGTGTCTCTCAGCAATGTCGAAGCAAGGAGGTTCTTTAATAAAAGCCACCTCAATAACAACAACCACACGTAGAGGATGTGCTGCACGTCCCGCTCCTCGAAGAGCCTGGCTGTATCTTTATAACTGGAGATCAAAAGACATTACAAAGAGCATTGCCCCTTTTGTAAAGGGCTGTGCAGAATTCAAGAAAAACGTTTCTTGTGCATTTACAAGTTTCAATATTACTTTATACTACCTACTTTTAACCTAAAGATTGAAAACATTTCAGTGTGTGGATCATTCCCCTTTAAAAATTTTGGAATTAGCTTGTCTTGGCTGTAGAGCCATTAGGGTTATAGTGGTGGGCAGGGAGGGTTGTATTTTAGTTTGTTTTTACAAAATTTATTACTGATTTCTCCCTGTGGGGCAATTTGTCATTGTCATTCTTATTTGTCATTGACATAAATTGGATGAGTCTTTAAATGTGTCATGAGAACTGAAACACAATAGAATAAAACTTAAATAATAGAGATCATATAGATGTATAGCTGGACTTGAGTCTGGAGCTGACTGCACTTTGTACAAATGAAAAATCATGCTTGGACTATGGTTGAAGAGTCAATAATTGACAACTGCTGCTGGGCAGTAGCAGCCTGTTCCCAATATATGCCGTTACGTAGCTGCCCACCTGCACTGTTATGGTTGATTCCTTGTACTGGAAGGGATTTTGATCACTAATAGCCACTGGCTGTATTGGCTTTGCCAAAACACCCTAATCAAGCGTGTTTCAAATTTTGCTTTTCATAGTCTTCGATGCCTCTTAAAATCATGCATACACACACATGCACACATTTTTTGATAAGAAATGTGTAAAGAAATGGGGTTTATGCATTTTTGATAGCATTATGAGTAGGTTCCTTAGGTGACTTTGGTGCATGATGCCAACAGGGATCTGCTTTTGAATCTCTGCATCTCAAATACTTCTGCCAAAATTCAAGTCTGCTTTACTACTTTTAAATAATATATGTATTCACTCACTAAAAAAATAAATTGACCTCTTACACTTTTCCCCCTCACCAAATTACATTGCTTGAGTTTTTGAGCTAGTAGTACCTGTATGTCAAATAATTGCTAGTGTCTGACCAAACTGCTTCAAAATAAGTTAAGAATCCTTTAGTGTTTGACCGTGTTGAGAACCAGTACATTTCTGCAAAGGGGCAGTGGCAATGTTTCCTAGGGAGACCCAAGTGCTCCTAGGTGAGAATGTGAAGTAGTTCATGTGCTAAGGGTTATATTTAAAATACATTTTTGCTACTTAGATGTTTGAAAGATGGTGCAGAGACAGATTATTTTAATACTATCTGAACAAGTGCTGAAAATCATCCAGGTAGGTAATTGTGGTTTTACCTTCCCAGGCTGTTTGGAAGTAACAGAAGCACCAAGGGTGTAACGGGGGAAAAAAGAAGAAAAGAGCAAAGTTGCTGATGGTGCCGACAGGGACCAGGTGCAAGAAAACTTGAGAGTTTAAAATGTGTAGAGCTTGTTTCTTTTTTCTTTTTATTTTTCTTTCTTTCTTTCATTTTACAAATACAAGGAATTGCTTCTCAGCCCAGTCCTGGCGCTTGGGAGTTTGTTTGCTGTTTTTGTTGACGTTGCTTGGCGGGTAACAGGGCAATGGCCGAGTAACTCAGAGAGCTGATGCAGAGGCGTTTGCCTCAGGGGCGAGGAGTATTTGCACAGGCACAAACCATGAGGGCTTCCTTGCAAGAGCTTGAAGTGCCATTGTGGTCTCGAGGTTTCTGTCGCCGCTGGTAGCGCTCAGCTCTCGGCCTCCTCTTTGACAGGGCCCTCAGGATCGTGGCAAGGCAGAGGCAGCAGGCGCAGCAAATACCAGGCCCTGGGTAAAAACAAACCTCTGATTTTGGTTTGATAATTTTATAGCAAACGGTTTTTACAATAGCTCCCTGTTTATCAAAGGGTTTATTGTTAATGCAGGGGCTGCTCCTTTCAGTGTCAATTGCTGAGCTATTTCTGGTTGCTAAAACCTGTACGCCCATGGGAAGGGAAGCAGTTAGAATGCGTTTCTTTTAGTAGTCATTGCACCATCCCTCCTTGAATCGACATGGAAAGTGAGGTGATTAATAACATTCCCTATATTGATTCATAGGTTTTATCTCTGTTTGAATTAGAGCGTGTTTAAAATCAAGAGAGAAGACAGAAGTAACTTACCTTAGTGCTGCATAATTTAAACATTTACGATAGATGTTTGTATACAAGAAGATACTGGTACTGTTATTGTAATATTTTCACTACTTTTTTTTTTCCTTTTGATTAACATGATATTTGTATTTTATATTTTACAATACCTGCCTTCTCTGTTTTATGGATGTGTTTTGTTATACTTTATGCAGTTTATATTATCACAGTGTTATCAAACAATAAAAACAGAATTAATTGTATTCGACATCTGTTGCTTTCAGACAGTTTATTTTAATTTTCTTTTTTTTTGGTGATACCATCACTCATTATGAACAAGTGAGAGGTGAATATGCTTTATGTGCAAGCCGATGGGACAGCTGTCAGGTAGGAAATTCAAAATGTTGCTGGTTCCTCTTTTATATTTATTTATTTGTTGTTTTTATTTTAGCTTAGTTCAATTGCAACTTATTTTATTGCAACTTTATTTTAGTTCAATTGCAACTTTGGGAAACTGTTCAGTGCAGGGGGTTGGATACCCCCTTTTTCATTTTCTGTCCTTTTCTCTTGATTTGTCCACGCTACAAGTCACTTTGTTAAGAGCTACTAGAGCAAAATGGGAAGGGGTTGTGGAGCTGGCTCCTTGCTCTCTCTAATGCTGTATTTCTTAAAAAGCAGGTGAAAGAGGGAAGTTCCTGCAGGCCTGAAGACGCAGTCTCCTGGAGCTCAGCTCACACAGAGGCCGGATGCGTGTGCGGAGCGACAGCAGCGGCTCCCGCTCCACAGGGACTCCGGAGCGCGAGGACAGCAGAGCTGTGAGTCACTTCATCTCAGGCCTCTGTGGCAGCCAAGGCTCAGGGTCAGCTCTGAGCAGGAGTCCAAGGGCAAAGTATTGGAGGCAGCAGAACCTTCTGTGCCCGACAGGGGTGGTGCTTGGCATCCTGACCACGCGCTGGGCTCGAGCCTGGCTCCCTCCGCACACTGTGCGGCCTGACTGAGCTGACCTTCCGAAATGGCACTCGCGGCATCTTGGGGACTCCCAAGAAGCTCACTGAAAAGTTCATAGTTACTGTTTCACTGCAGACTTGAACAAAAAAGCTCTCCAATCCTGTGTCTATAAACAGAAAATGCAAAATGCATCTTGGTGTGATGAGAAAGTTAGGAATTGAAACCTGTTTTGACTTAGTTGTAGAGCAGAAGACTTTTAGTGACACTGTGTATTAAATATTGTACCTAAGGGGAATAACAGTAACAAAGAGCTCACCTTCTTTGTCACAATTGCTTAAAGCACGTTTGCCTACATTTTGTATGAGCCTCCCTGCTCAGGCATAGCTACTTCAAAGCAAATTGGGAGTAGGCGCCAGTCCCATGGCTGGGACAAACCTGTGGCATCCAGCACGGAGGTGGTTTTGTGCCTTCTGGAGGAGCTGCAGGCAGAGTCCCGGCTGCCAGAGGAGGCATCTGCACTTCCTGCCACTACTGAAGTAAATCCTCGGAGTCACATCCCGCTAACCCGTGAGCGCATTGACCTCCAGGGGAGGGTTCCTCCTGCTTGCAGGGCACCTCTGGGTGCTGCACACGCTGCTGCACACCCCACAGCGCCAGCTCCCTTCCAGGATCCCACACGGGCCGCATGGAAGAGGGCAAGTGTCAGCCCGGCTGCTCCGTACGAACCACTGGACGCGGTATTAGTGACACGGAGAAGCGGGTTGTGCAACCAGGCCTGTTTACATAACACATGTTTGCTCTGATGCTCCACAAAAACCTAAGCATGGAGACATTTCCTGGAGCTGTAAATTCGCCCATCACTCTTACTGGGTTTTCACTTCACACGTTAGATTTGGGCGGCGAGGTGACTCACCCCGTTGCATGCGGTGGCCCTTCTCACGCTAGGTAAAAGGGAAGACAGTCACCATTCACAGCACGAAATTCCCCGTGACAAGAAAAACACGAGGCTCTGTCACGTAGAGGGCAGCGCATCCACCCCGCTGACAGCACGGAGCTGCACTTGTAGCTCTCCAGATCCAGCCCGTTTTTGGGGTAGCATTTGTAAAGCCGGTTTGTTTTATAGTGGGAGCACAGAGAAAACACTCAGTTAACCCGTTTATTAACAGCTTCAGATCCGTGGGTAGAAGGAAGAGGAACAGCCCTTGCCTGAGCCCAGCGTTGTACCGGTCCCAACCAGGGCTCGCAGCAGGCCAGCAATCCGCAGCCCTGTTCGAGTAGCTGCCAGGAAAGCCTAGAATCCAGTCAGAAAGCCCTGTGCAGACTTCATGAGGGTTGGAAGCCAGTCACTTATAATTTTAAGAGCTCTCAGCTGGGCTTTTACGACTTTGTTTTCTTCAAGCTGCGTGTCCAAATGTCTCCGAGCGTTTTAATGTGGGCCCAGCTTGCTGGTTAGCAAGTATTTCGCTCTTAATCAGAGCAGTTCTCCAGCACTTTCCGCTTGCAGCTTGTGGCAAAACTGGAAACAGAAGCCTGAGCAGCTGGAGGCGGTTTTGGTCCTTTGGTTCCCACCTAATTCTCAGAGATTTCCTTCTTGGTCTAGGCAAGATTGACCAAGGAAAACCAGCACCTCCCTCCCTTCTTCTTTGGGTCCTGAAGCAAAACAACTTGCTCTCCTCACAGAGCTGCCCAGGTGAAATTTCCCACTCTGCTTGTTCTTAGTTTCTCATGTGGACAACTCGGCACCTGGGCAGGTTTTGTGGATGGGCTTGCGGCTTGGGATGGATGGAAACTGGAAATTTGGCTGTTTTGCAAGGCAAGTCAAGTGCTTAATGCAAGAGTCATGTTCACGTCTAGGTTGTGCTAAGCCCACGTTAGAGGACGTCTTTTTGCCAGCACGTTGTTTAGGGTGTGTTCTGGAAAATATGAAAGGGAATTAATGCAATGACCTAAAAAGAAACGGAGGCAAGGATTTTGCCAGGATGGTTGGGAATGAGGAATGCTGATACTTTGCAGCTGTAGAGTTAATATCAGCTTCCTTCTGGTCCAACTCTCTGCAATCCAGGGGATTTGCAACGGGACATTTTTGTGTTGCAGTCAAGTACTGTTTATGACACTAACGGCCCCGGGGGAGCTGTGAACAGAAATAGACACAGGCCGAACTGCTGGGCTAATAGCCCCTTGTTGGAAGCCCCTGCTGTGGCCTGCAGCACGGCGGAGTCGTGGCCCGCGCTGCGGCTGCGGGGGCTCCCTGAGGCCGGGCCTCTCTTTGCCCTCTCTCTTGGGGCAGCATGGGGCAAAGGGCTGACAGAAAGGAAGGAGACAGTAATTTGCTGCTGGGAACTCTCTGTGTGTCTTTCTCAGATGTTTCCTTCTCTCTTTTTGGGTAGGTTGGTGCTGTGTCTGGGTAACCATCCTAGCGCTGCCCCTATGCCCCCGTCCATCCTTTCCCTGCTAAGTCTCCTCCCTTCCTCAGCAGTGGGATTTCTTCAGCAAGAGGAATTCACAGGTATCTACTTTCCTCTGCTTTCTTGCTAAAAAGGCTGCTGAGAAGGGTGGAAGGCACTTTGCAAAGTGCCCTGGTAAGGCTTTTTTGCTCCAGAAATAGGAAAAACAAACTGCTAGGAAATGGGCAAAAAAACCCTAGGAAAACAATAACTCAGAAATACAGCTAATTTTGTAGATGGGACCCTGCCATAGGGATTTGGGATATGACATTAAGTGATGGCCATAACTGAATGAAGGCAAGTGAGTAACCAGCCTGTTCTCATTACCAGCAAAAGGGCCAGATGTGGCTTTTGTCTTGTTTAGTCACATGAAGCTTCATCTAGAGCTGTGAACCGAGCAGGCCGAGTAC